GTAGAATAAACGTGGGTATTTACCCTCCTAGGAAGTCTCTTCAGGCTCTGAGATGACTCAGCCCTTTCTCTGAAAGGGTGTGGAAGCTGCCTTCTGCAAAGCAGGTAAGGACAGGCCCACAGCTGGCTCCTGGCTTCCCTCTCAGGGTCTGAAGACAAAGAATGGGAATGGGAAAGGCATCCTGCCTAGATCCTAGAAGTTCAGGGTACAAGGAATTGTATCCTGTAAGGGCTGACATAACATTCTGGAAGCTTCTCTTAGGAGGTCCATGACACCCCTAGTTTTGCCAAGTTCCAGGAGCTAGGTGCCAGGCCATTCCATGTTCCCATGCTGCACTGGCCACAGAGGTAACAATAAGTGAAAGGATTCAGGCATTACGCTGGCCTGCCCCTGTCACCCGACAGAATGCACTCAGGCAGTACCCTGGTCAGCCCAGGGTTCCATAAGTACCAGTTGGCACAGAAAGTCCCTTTAAAAGAAAGACTCCGCCCACTTATGTTCTCTTTCTGGCTCTTCTCTCTCTGCTCTCCTCTCTTTCTGCTCTTTTTCTAGCTTTCTTCCTGTTCTCTCTTCCCACTGTTCCCCTGGGGCAGACAGGGCTCTTCTGTACTCTCTCTGTCTCTCTACCTCTCTTCTCTTTCCTTCCTCCTCCCTCCCCCCTCTGATAAAACCTCTCACTTAAACTCTGTCTGCCGTAGAGCTCTACCTCAGTCACCCTGGCCCGCCATGGAACCCGCCATGGTCCCCCACCCAAGGACCCCCTCCAGCTTTATCCTAACAGTAAGGACAAAGCTGAGTGGCCACAGACCTGGCTAAAAACCAGCCCAGCTCCATCCTCCCTCTTCCTATACCCAAAAGTGGTTTGTTTTTCCACTCTACAAATTCTTTTTCTGTTTGTTTGGCTTTTTGAAACACGGTTTCTCTGTGTAGCCCTGACTGTCCTGGAACTTGCTCTGTAGACCAGGCTGGCCTCTAACTCAGAGGTCCATCTGCTTGTGAGACCTGGATGCTGGGATTAAAGGCGTGTTCCACCACTACCAGGCTGTCCACTCTGCAAGTTTTTGCAACACAGGGGGTTCATCCATCTCATTTCCTTGCACCAAACTGAACCCTTTGTCTCCTCCCTCCCCTCCCTGTCCAAGCACAACTTTTCCCCAGGTCATTTCTGGTCACACCCTCCCAGAGTGATTTTAGGATCAATTTATCTAAGGCCCCTGCCTTCATAGTTATAAATTAACACAATTTTGTTTTGTTTGTTTGGAACCAGGGTCTCATGTTGCTCAAACGGGCCTCAAGTCTGGCCTTAATTTTTTTTTAAATTGTAATGTATAAGTGTATTTACATGAGTTTATGTTCACCATGTGTGTGCAGAAGTCTCTTGAGATCCATAGGTGGCATCAGATCATCCCAAACTGAGTTACAAGTGGCTGCCAGCCACCATGTGGGAGCTGGGAATCAAATTTAGGTCCTCTATAAGAGCAGCCAGGGTTTTTGTTGGGGGGGGGAGGTTGTGGATTTTTGTTTGTTTGTTTATTTGAAGAGGGTTTCTCTGTGTAACATCCCTAGCTGTCCCAGAACTCACTCTGTAGACCAGGCTGGCCTGGAGCTCACAGAGATCCACCTTCCTCTGCCTCCTGAGTGCTGGGATTAAAAATGTAGAGTACCATACATGGTAGGGATGGATAATGGGGTTTTGTTGTTGTTTGTTTGTTTGTTTGAGACAAGGTCTCTTCTTTGTTTTTCTTTTTTTCAGGAGTGTGTGAAAGCTCCAGCATTTGAGAGGGATAGGAGAAGACCCTTCAAACACGGGAAATGGCTTTCAGCAACTCCTCTCCCTGCATTATGGATGACCAGAGCACAGGCAGTACTTGGTCACTTCTAAATGCAGGGCTGAATCATCTATCTTCAAAGGAAGGGATTACAGCCATTTGTCAAGGTGCTTGACTCGGGACCTTATCTTTGGGTTATTTATTTGTTTAAACACCATTGAACAATCTAGAGCAGGGTTCAGCAAAAGTTATTTTAATTAGTGTGTGTGTGTGTGTGTGTGTGTGTGTGTGTGTGTGTGAGCGCGCAGGCACACCCTCACTCCTGCATGCACACACAAGCTCATTCACATGCACATCTGTTCCTGCCTCTGCCTCCAGAATTCTGGGATTAAAGATGGACACTGACACACCCAGCAAGGATGGCTTTTGTTTTTCATTAATTTACAAATAAAAACACCATTCTTAGCACAAGGTTTGCACAAAGAAGTGTTAAGCTTATCAGGATTTGGCAAACAGTTTGTCTACCCTTGATCTAGGACAGAGTGTTTGCATCAAAAACTTCCCTGTGAATCAGGCTGGTGGGCCAGGCCTGTAGTTCCAGCTTCCTACAGAGTAAGTTCAAGGCCAGCCTGAATAACTCAATGTGGCCCCCTGTCAAAAAATCAAAAGCAAAAAGAATGCTAGCAGGGTTGGAGAGACGGCTCAGGGTTTAAGAGCACTGCTTGCTCTTCCAGAGGACCAGGGTTCAGTTCCCAGCACCCACATGGCGGCTCACAACAGTCTGTAGCTCCAGTTCCAGGGGATCCCAACACCCATAGGAAAACACCAATGCACATAAAAGTGCACATAAAATTAAAAAAAAAAAAAAAGAGTGCTGGTAATGTAGCTCAGTGGTAGAGCATTTACCCAGCATGCATGAGGACCCAGGTCCAACTTCCCAAAACCACAAAACCAAAACAAACTACCACCAAGAGAACCCCATGCCAGTGTGGTGGCATACAACTGTAGTTCAAGAATTGAGGAAGTCGGGGCAGGAGGATCTGGACTTTGAGGCCAGCCTAGGCTTCAGGACAGCCTGTCTCAAAAATCCAAAACTAGAGGCTGGAGAGAGAGAGCTCAGCAGCTAAGAGCACTGTTTGCTCTTTTGGAGGGCCAGAGTTTGGTTTCCGGCTCCCACACCGAGGTTAAAAACTTGCTGTAACTCAAGTTCCAGGGAATCCAACACATTCTCCTAACTTCTGCTGACACCAGGCACATACATGTGGTGCACAGGCATACCTGTAAGCAAGTAGTCATACACATAAAAGAAAACAACAACATAAAACAGTCAGGAGGTGATTTGGCAAACAGTTTGTCTACACGGTCTCTCAAATGAACTTGGAGCTGGTTATTTTTCAGCTGGGCTGGTAGTCAGCAAGTCCCTGCAATCCCCATCAGCTCGAAACCCCACCCCAGGCACTAGGGCTAAGATACACTAAGCCAAGCCTGACCTTTCCATGGGTGCTAGAGATGAGAAGTCAGGTCCTCATGCTTGTTCATCAGGCTCCTACCTATTGAACCAGTACCCTGACTTACTGTCTTTTTCTTTTTGTTTGTTTTTTGTTTCTGCTTGGTTCGGTTTTACAGAGATCTGACTGCCTCTGCCTCTTGAGTGCTGAGATTAAAAGCATGTCCCGCCACCACCACCGTCCAGCCTGAGTATAAACCTTTTTAAATTAAAGCATTTATTTATTTGTATATGAGTATTTTGTCTCATGTATGGCTGTCTGTGCACCACCTGCATGCTGTGCCCAGAGCCAGAAGAGGGCATCTGATCCCCTGGAACTAAAGTTACCCACAGTTGCTAGGAACTGAACCTGGGTCCTTTTTTTTTTTTTTTAATTTTTTAAAATTTTATCTTACTTATTTATGTATTTATTGAGACAAGGGCTTCTCTGTATAACCTGTCCTGGAACTCAACTCTGTAGACCAGGCTGCCCTCAAATTTAAGAGAGCATTCTGCCTCTGAAATGCTGGGATTAAAGGCATATGGCTCCAGACCCTGCTTTTTCTATTGTTTCTAAGTGATAGGCAGCAAGATGGCTTAGAAGGTAAAGGTACTTGTCACCAAGCCTGATGATACAGCCAATGTCCACATGATAGAGGGAGAGAAATGACTCTTCCAAGTTTCCTCTCACTCCCCACCCCCACATTTGCAAGTGGTACTGGAGAGCCCACCCACACTAATGAAATAACTAAAGTCACAGTTACACATATGTATACGATACTATGTATTGCTTTGACACAAGTATACATTGTGTAATGTTTTAAATAACCAAACCAAATCAGCTTCAATATGTATCATTTCTTCTCTCTCTCTCTCTCTCTCTCTCTCTCTCTCTCTCTCTCTCTCTCGACAGGGTCTTATAGTGTAGTTACACCAGACTGGCTTTGACTCAATCCCCTTTTCTTAGCTTCCTCAGGTCCCAGGTTATAGATACACACCCTACATACACCACTGTTTAGTGGCTTTGAGAAAAAAAGCTACTAGGTTCACCTTTCTGTGCAAGTGTTATGACATGCTGCTGGAAAAGAGGCGCCATGAATTGAGGACAAATTGTTAGTGTCAAGAGGAAGATTTATTTGCAGCAATGTCAGCAAACAAGATGCCAGGCAACCACCTAGTAGGAAAACCTTTCTTTTTTTTCTTTTTCTTTTTTTTTGAGACAGAATCGTTACATAGCCTTGGCTGTCCTGGAACTCACAGAGATCCCCCTTGTAACTCTTGACACCTAAAACGACTTGGTAAATAAGTAGTATTCATAACCTTGTGTGGTGTGACTAATCTGTAAAGAAGGGTAATGATAACGTCTAGCGCATTATGAATAGTAAACTATCTCCTTAAACCACTTGCACTAGTGTTTGGATACACACGGAACTGAGTCCAAGGAAGGGGCTCGTAAACTTTTTGTAGATTCACTGTTGGGCAAGATCTCTTTCCCAGGACTCACACTCCTCCAAGAGTTCCCAGCGGTTCCATAATCAAAGTCAAGACCAACTGGTTCTTCAAGATGTAAAATGAATGGGATTAAATCGCCTTTTCGCTTTCCACGCCTTTCACTCTCAAGAGGAAAAGCCTTCAACAACTACACCCTTCCCTGGGGTCCAAATTATTCTACCGGCAAAAATCAAACCACAGCGCCAATTAAAGGGGAGGCGAACTTCCCTTTCCGCGCTGGCAGCACTCCTCCACTATCGCGATAAGCCGGCGAGATCGACGCTGGCCCTTTAACGGCCCCTTCTCGGGGGCCTGCCTAGCGCGTGCGCACTGCGGTTCTGCGCTTGTCATCATGGCGACGCGGGGCCATGTGCAGGATCCTAACGACCGGCGCCTCCGGCCCATTTACGGTGGGTACCTGGAACCGGCCTGCTGGCCAGCATGGCAAGCCGAGGCCTGCCCTGCCCCGGGCGAAGGCCCCGGAGGGCCTCCGGGGGCGCGCGCGGTGTGGGGCGGCGAGGGGGCGGGCCGCTCGGGGCGCTAGGCCGCAGCCTCGGCCTCGCGTAGGTGCCGGCTCGGCGAAGCTCGTCCCTGAGGTGGCATCTGCGGGTGCGCGCAGCTGTCAGGACGCGCGGGAAGCGCCCTTCCGGCGGGACCAGCGCTAGCACTAGGTCGCTTTATTCCAGCCGGTTCCAGGGAGACCGTGGTCTTTCTTGCAGGTGACAACCGGCTCCGGCATGAGGTGGGATGCCCTCTGAGGGGAGATGCCCCAGTGAAAGAGGTTCAGTTAACCAGGGTGAGGACCCGGGGTTTGTCTGAGTGGGTGTAATCTGGTGCACGTGGACAAACTGAGGCCCAGAGAAGGTCACCCGGATCGAGCCCCATCCTGATGCTACTGCCTGCAGGAACAGCTGCTCTGGGCACACGTGGGAGGCGGGGGGAGGGGGTCGCAGGCCCAGAATAGCGGGCAAGGGATGCTAATAGCTGGTGGCGGAGGTGCGAGCCGGGCCGCTGGAAGGTTTTTTTTTTTCCCTTTCTGCACCGTGTCTGTGGTTTTGCTGTGCAGTTTGCCTTCCGCGTGCGTGGTGGTTCCCTCTCCACGGCGCTCGCCCCAAACCCACAGGCTTTAAGATGAACCTTGATGTCATCTTCCTACCGTGATGGAATAAAAGACTCAATGAATTGGGTCAGAGAGAAACACTTTGCAGTAACTCAGGTGGTCTGTTATTGGAGGTGGTTCCTTTTTTGCGTTGCCTTTCCTCATTGATGGTTGTATGGTCTTGTCTCAGGTAATGATGAGGAAGCTTCAAGGTCAGTGGTTCTTGCTAAAGATGTCTCGTTTTCAGTTTTCAGTGTGGCTCCATTTTGGCTTTTTTTTTCCCCCCCTCCCCCCGTAGCAGAGTGGGTACTTGTGTTTCTAGCAAGTTGGTCTGGTTTTTTTCTTTGTCCATTACTTTTTTTCCACTATTTTACTTCTATGGGTATTTTGCCTTCATGATGTCTGTGCGCCACGTGAGTTCCTGGTGCCCAAAGAGGGCGTTAGGATCCCCTGGAACTGGAGTTACAGACTGTTGGAAGCGACTTTGTGGGTGCTGGGACTTGAACTGGGCTCCTGGTAGCCAGTGTTCTTAAAACCTGAGCCTTCCCTTCGCCCTGGTCCCCTCCCCCCCAAGAAGATCACACAATAGCCCTAGGCTGGCTTAGAAGTCACAGAAATCACCTGCTTTCCATCTCCTGAATGCTGGAATTAAAGGCTCACCACCATTACACTGGCTTTTTGTTGTTTTTGGAGACAGAGTTCCTCTGTGTAGCCTTGGCTGTCTTGGTTGGAATTTGCTGTGTGGATGAGATTGGTCTCTAACTCAGGGATCCACCTGCCTCTGCCTTCCGAGTGCTGGGATTAACAATGTGTGCCACCACCATTCGCTGCTCTTTTCTAAAACAAGCTTTCACTAAATAGTCCTGAGTAGGGTAGCCTGGAACTCCTTCTATAGACCAGTTGGACTTAATCTTTGATCTATACCTCTTACAAGCATGTGGCCCTGTGCCCAGTGTTCATAATTTCATATATGTGTTTGATGCTTTTTTTTTTTTTTACACTTGGGTGGTAGGGTATGGTCACAACTGGTACTATGTGCCTGTGGAGTTCAGAGAGCACTTTGCAAGAGGGAGTTGGTCCTTTCTTATCTTGTGGATTCTGGAATTAAATTCAGGTTCTCAGGAATGGTAGCAAGCACCCTCAACTGCTGAGCTATCTTGCTGGCCCTGTGTAGTGGATAACAATAGTAATAAGGCTAAGAACAGTCTTTTATAAGGTTCTTAAGTCCGTCAGTGTCCTAGAGCTTTTACCTGGGATATCTTATTCCCCCCCCCAAAAAAAAAAACAGCTGTAGAAATAAGTTTTATTGCTCTAAATGTGGTTTATCTAAAGCTTATTTATCTAAAGCTGATAGTTCTTCCTGAACTTGGATTTGAACTCCAAGCACTCTGCTTTGTTTTGTTTTGTTTCCAGATAGGACTTCAACTGTGTAGCCCTGGCTGTCTTGGAATTCACTCTGTAGTTCAGGATTGGCCTCAAACTCAGAGAGCTATCTACTTCTGCCTTTTAAGTGCTGGGATTAAAAGCATGAGGCTTGGGCCACCACAGCCCAGCCCAAGCACACTGTCTTGACTGCTGTGCTAGAAAATCTTAACATATCACTTTGATTTACCTAAGATCACAGAGTGGAGGGCTAGCAGAAAGAGGACTCTGATTTCCCATTTGCTGCACATCCTCCTGCCTTGGCAGAAGGCAGAGAAGTCCCTGTGTAGACCAGGCTAGTCTCTGGCTCACAGCTGCTCCTCTGCTTCTGGGTAATAGATAGTAAAACCTCAATTTAGGGTTCATGGTTAGTGAATCACATCCTTATATAGACACTGCCTGTAGACTTCTCCTTTTTCTGCATTTTTTACAAAAGACTCAAAACTTAAGAATAATTAGATTCATAACGTTCTTGAAGACCAAGGAGAACACCGTTGGTCCTATATTCAGTTACAATTAATAGTATTTTGAATTGGTCAATAAAGAACACATTGCCATACATCAGGGTGTATTTATTAACCATATTCTCAAAGCTGAAGTTTGAATTATGTAGCTTTGTTCCAGCTAGTAGGGAGAGGAGGGCTTCTGAGGGGCTCATATAAACTGGCAGGAATAGGCCATGTTTCAGCCTTCGGACTTTAGAACTGAATTTTGTTGTTCAAACACATGGATGCTCCTAAACAACTGCTAATCCTTAAATCCAGGCTGTACTGGCTGACCCATGAGCAAGTTCATCATTGTGGAGCTCAGCCATGGCCTGATGTTCACTAACTGCATTAGCAGAGAGCTGGTCCCTGCAGGGAACTCAGGGTTGTAAGGAGTGAGTTGTAGGGCTGAACACAGGCTTCCATAGTCCAGACTGGAGCTCCCTAAGTTGCTCATACTGGCCTCAAACTCCAGACCCTCCTGTCTCAGTCGTGTGAGTGCTGGGATTAAAGGCTAGTGCCACCCGATCCTCCTCCCGTCTTGAAATGACCTCTTGCTGGGTGGCTCTCACCCCCTGGCATTTTGGTTTGGGTAGGTGAACACAGTGCTTTTTTACCCTTGTCATTACTGTTGGGGCCTTGAGATGGCTCAGTGGGTAAAGGCACCGAGGCCCATCCTGGGGACCCTGACAGTGTTAGGAGAGATCCAGCTCTTGAAAGTTGTCCTCTTATTTCCTCATGCACAGCACCAAGCCTTCTCTCCCTATAGGGTGAGGTGTAGCATTATTCCAGCAGGCTGTCCAGTGACAGTCATTCCGTCTATGAGTTAGGCTGTTTCCCTTGAGTGTCTGGTCAAATCTTAGGGCAGGTAATTATTCTGTTAGAGTTCATTAATAAAAACGTGAAGTGCTCAAGGGTAATATTTATTCTGAGTCTTTTGTTGGGTAGTATTAACTGTGTGCGTCTTGGAAGTGACAAGGTGTCATCTTGTGAGTGGGGGTGTACATATGTAGGCAGAAGTCAACCTTGGGGGTCATTCCTCAGGCCCCATCTACCTTGCTGTTTTTGATTCTGGGTCTCTTTTATAGCCTAGCCTGGCATTTGCCATATAATTTAGGCTGGCCAAGACCCTCAGGGACTGTCCTATCTCCAACTCTCCAGCACTAGGATTGCAAATGTATGCCACTGTAGTCAGCCTTTTTACTTGATTTGAGGATCCAACCTAGTGCTCATGTTTGCATGATGAACTCTTTACCTCCTGAGGTATTTTACCAGCTCCTGTTTTGACTTTCTGTAGAAATTTCACTTGATTCAACCTCTTTTCTTCTGTAGTGAAAACATAACCACCTAAAAGCTGTGTCTACATGAGGATGTAGCTCAGTGATAGTGTCTGACTAGTGTGTGTAGGCCACAGGTTTAGTCCCCAGCTCTGGGGCACGGTGTGAACATAGGCACATATGTACACACACACTTTGAGAGTGTCTCACAAAGCCCAGGGTGACCTAGAATTTGCTGTGTAGCTAAGGATAACCCTGAACTTCAGATCCTCTTGCCTACTTTGTGCTGGGATCACATGCTCTGCCACTGCATGTGGTCTTATGAGCTGTTGGGGTCCACTGAGCACCACTGGCAGCTCAGACATTTAATAGTTCTGTTTGTGCCTAGGGCTCTGAAAAGTGGCTTGCCTTGAGGTCATGCAGTGTGGGTACCTGGGCTGTTAGGAGCAGGTCTTGAAACAGCCTTGTGGATGGGGATTTTGAAGCAATAGAGGAGGAGCAGGACCTGACAGCAGAGAAACCAGGACTCAGCTTTGTAAGCTGTCAAAGGACCAGGAGGCGTTTTGGTTTGCCTTTCATAGGTTTGCCTTTTTCATTTTTTTTTTTTTTTTTTTAAGATTTAGTCTCATGTAGCTCAGGTTGCCCACAGTCCAGCCTGGTGTACATAGCAAATTCCACCTAGCCAAGGCTACATAGAGACCCTGTCTCTAAAAGAAAAGAAAGAGAAAAGCAAAATATAAATAACAGATCAGGGAAAAAAAAAGAAAAAAATTAGGTCATTCTTGGTTGCGTAGCTCTGGCCAAGATACCTGAGAGCCCATGCCCCCCCCCCCCAGTAATTATAACTTACATCCTTATTAGCATGGAAACTTGTATATCTTGCTGCGAAGAAACAATGAAAACAAAGTGTCACTAAATTCCTCTGCACCCTCTTCCTTTAAAAGAAACAAAAAGACACTAGTGAAGACCAAGGTGAGAGAAGGCAAGCTGGGACCAAGCTGCTTGCAGAAAAGCTGTCGTGTGGGCTCTGGTCCTCTCTGGGATCTTGCTGTGGATTCTCTGGGAGGACCAGGCATCCAGAAGAAAGCCTGTCTTTTGGGCTGGTGCTTGCTGTCAGGCTTCCCGAAGGCTCCTTTGACAGACTACTTTTACTAAGGGGTAGCAGCAGTCCCTCGCCAAACCACAATTACCACAAGTTTTTAAAAGATTTACTATCTTAGAATATCATATTTACTGACCTGTTTTGTCCAAGGGCTGTGTGATTTATATTAGAGACCCAATAATGTAAGTTGAAAACCAACTTTTTTTTTTTTAATTTGGTTTTTCAAGATGGGGTTTCTCTGTGAGAACTTGCTCCATCATAGACCAGACTGGCCTCAAACTCACAAAGATTTACCTGTGTCTGCCTCCCAAGGCATGTACTACCACCACCTAGCTTGAAAACCAACTTTTGCCAAAGAAATTAGAGGCCAATTAATTAGCCTTTGCCCAAGCAAGAGGGGAGGAGGGTTTGACATCAGGTGGGATGTAATGCAATGGCACAGGGGACAGACCCCAGACAGCAGTCCCAGTTAGGACGCTTCCTTCCTAGTGTTCCTGGTTGGTCCTCTGGGCAGAGTGTAGTGCCCTTAGGAAACTAGGAGGCTGCAAGGAAATGTCTCTGCCTCTGATTCCTCCAGGTGTCCTGTCTTCTCTCTGCCCTGTTCTTCAAACTGGTTTTCTTTTTCTTTTCATTGTTGGCTTTTCCAGACAGGATTCCTCAGTGTAGCTCTGGCTGTCTTAGAACTAGATCTGTAAACTAGACGGGCTTTAAACTCACAAAGATCTGCCTGAGGCATGCCTACCACTGCTGGCATCAGACTGATTTTCTTTTGTTCTTTTTGCACTCTTCAGGGCAGAACCAGTTGGCTTTGTAGCCATATTAAGTTGTGGTCAGAGGAAAGAGGGTCCCTGAGCTTCACCCCACACACAGACTTCATCAAGGTGGCTCCTTCCTTCCAAGTTTTTGTTTTTTAAAGTGTGTATGTGTCTGTGTGGGTATATACTCCATGTGTGCAGTGCCCAAAGGGGCCTGAAGGGGGCATCAGATGCCCTGCAGCAGGATTTAAAGCTAGTTGTGAGCTGCCATGTTGGTGCAGTACTGAACTTGGCCTGTGCAAGATCAATCAGTAATCACTTCAGCCCCACTTGCAGGGGGTTTGAATACAGGGAGTTTTTTGTTTTTTGTTGTTTTTCCTATTTATTTCTCTATTACTAGTAGTATTTGGATTTCCTTTCTTACAGGAACAGAGCCTGAAGGTGACATTTTCTTTGTCCCCCTCATCCTGTGTGTATTATATGAAGCTTCTGAGATGAAGTACTAGAGCAGCCACTGATAACCCTAGACTCTGTATCTAGGTTTTCCCATCTGGGGTTGCCCATGGCTTTCTGATGTATCCATCTGGTGTTGTAGCTACTGGTTACCAGGAAGAAACCAGGTTTACCCAGCCTGGGCCAAATGTCCACACTGGGTGGGCTGCAGTTCTGTGGTTTAGATGTGGTCTTACCACATTCTCAGCCATAGTGGAGCCCCTTCTCAGAGGTGAGGCCAAGGGTGAATGGGGAAATGTCCTTAGTCCTGACCCCAGCTTTGATTGTTTATCAAATAATCACTCTAACAGTTAGAGTACATCAAAGACAACTAGTTTAAAAAACAAAAAAGAGGGGCTAGGGAGAAGGCTCAGAGGTTAAGAGCTCTGGCTGCTCTTCTGAGGACCCAGGTTCAGTTCACAGCACCCACATAGCAGCTCACAGCTGTTTGTATCTCAAGTTCCAGGGGATGTAACACCCTCACAGAGACACACATAATATACATAAAATGAATAAATTGGCTGGGCAGTGGTGGCCCATACCTTTAATCCCAGCACTTGGGAGGCAGAAGCAGGTGGCTCTCTTGTTAAATTTGAAAAAAGCCTGGTCTACAAAGCGAGTTCTAGAAGAGCTACACAGAGAAACCCTGCCTTGAAAAGCCAACCAACCAACAAACTAATAAATAAAAATTGTGAAAAGAGGGCATTGGTGGCACATACCTTTAATCCCAGCACTTGGGAGACAGAGGCAGGTGGATCTCTCTGAGTTCAAGACCAGCCTGGTCTACAGAATTGGTTCCAGGACAGGCTCTAAAGCCATAGAGAACCCTGTCTCAGGGAAAAAAAAAAAAAAAAAAAAAAAAAGAGTAAAGAAAAAAGAATTGTAAAAAGATGACTAGTTTAAGAGAAAGTCTACTTAAAAAAAAAAAAAAAAAAAAAGTGACCTTGCTATGTATGTAGCTTGGCTGGCCTCAACCACTCAATTCACAATCCTAAACTGGGATTGGGTGTGAAAGGATGGGGTGGGGTGTTCTGAGATTGCCTGTAATGTCAGCACTTGAGAGTCTGAGGCCCCAGTGAGTTTGATGCCAGTCTGAGCCTCTGCACTTCCCCTGTATGCCACCACTCCCTGGCCCCTGGCCCCTGGCCCCTGGCCCCAGGCCCCAGGGTGTTTAAAAAAAAAAAAAAAAATAGGTCTCAAAGGGAACTGTATTTCTCATGTTTGTTAGTGAAGGATTATGATAACTGTGATTTTTCTTTTTTATAGATTATCTTGATAATGGAAATAATAAAATGGCAATTCAGCAAGCTGATAAATTGTTGAAGAAACACAAAGATCTTCACTGTGCAAAGGTAACTAACTGCATCTGCTCTTTACTTACATTTGTGGGTAATATTATGTATATTTTTTTGAGGCAGGATTTCTATGTGGCCCAGGCTGGCATGAAACTTGATGCTGACCTCAGACTCAGAGAAATCCACCTGCTTCTGCCTCCTGATTGGGATTAAAGGTGTTTGCCACCATGCTGGGCTGTGAGTTAGTTGTATTTGTAATTCTTTCTCATGTCTGTTTTGTGATTTTGTATTTTGTATTGTACTTTTGAGACATGGTCTTACATAACCGAGGGTGATTCTACTGCTTTGTCCTTCCAGGCCCATTTCTTTTCCCCCTCCTCCCTCTCCCTCTGCCCGTCCTTTCTTCCCTGTGGTTGTGCAGGTGCCACAGTGCAGAGCATATAGAAGTCAGAGGAGAAACAATAATCAGGAGTTGGTTCTCTGCTTCTACCATGTCAGGCCACCAGGCTTGTGTGCAGGAGCCTCTGTCCCCCCAAGCTGGCTCCCCAGAAAACCTCGCCTTACTGTCCTGAGCACTTCATCTTGCATAGATAGTACTTAATTGAAGTTTAACTGTGTATATTTTGGGGTACTACTTAGTTGTATTTTCACAATCTTTTTTGTCTAACATAGGGTTTCTCTGTATCCCTGGCTGTCCTGGAACTCGCTTTGTAGATCAGGCTGGCCTAGACCTCACAAAGATGGGCCTGCCTCTGCCTCCTGGGATTATAGGTGTTTGCTATCTACCACCCAGCTTATTTTCACAGTCTTTAAAAACAGTATAAGGTACTTTTATTGTGACTGTGGTAAGAAGGAAATCTGAGTTGCTGTCAATTTTTTGTGAGAACGGTTGTAGTTGTTCACAGCCTAGTCCTTGCAGCTTCTGCTTTTGGCTTTGCTCTAGGTTCCCATTTCCCTGTCTTGTGGTGCATATGTGCACTTATCAGTTTTGGTGCATGTGGAGACAAGAAAGACATTTTAAAGATTTTATAGCCGATGGTGGTGGCCCATTCCTTTAATCCCAGGCAGAGGCAGGAGGATTTTGTGGGCTCCAGGCCAGCTTGGCCTATAGAGCCAGTTCAGGACAGCCAGGGATGTTACACTAAGAAAACCTGTCTTTAAAAAAAAAAAAAGAAAGATTTTATTATTTACATGTCTATGTATAAACTCCCTCCTCCATATCTGTGGAGACTAGAACAGGGCATCAGATCACCTAGAGCTGGAGATAAAGATGTGTGGGCTGCTTGGTCTTGGAACCTGCCAAGTAGGTTAGGCTGGCTGGCCACTGAGCCCTGAGCTCACTTGCCTCTGCCTTCCTTTCCAGCACTAGGATTAGGAGTGAGTGGTAATCCTTAGACAGCAGCTCAGGGGCAGACCCTGGGACCCTTTGCTCTGCCTTAGTTTTTCTTTCTCTTGGAAGCTGAATCTTTTTTTTTTTTTTTTTTTTTCCTTGCTGTCAGGTTCTCAAAGCAATTGGTTTACAGAGAACTGGAAAACAGGAAGAAGCCTTCAGCTTGGCACAGGAGGTGGCTGCCCTTGAACCCACAGATGACAACTCCCTGCAGGCCCTGACCATTCTTTACCGGGAGATGCACCGGCGTACGTGACTTTCTGTGTCTCCCCTGACTTGTGTGGATGACAGTAGAGAGATGAATGAATGTATTGGCCTTTGAAGAGCTTCGCTAGGGTAGTTAAATGCATCATTGGCTTCCTTGACCTGGAATAAGTCAAAATGAGTTTCTTCCTTCCTTCCTTCCTTCCTTCCTTCCTTCCTTCCTTCCTTCTTTTTTCCCGGGACAGATTTTAGGCTGGCCTGGAACTCAAAGAGATCCGACTGCTTCTGTCACCCTACTGCTGAGATTAATGATGTATACTACCATACTCTAGCTTCATTTAAATTTCTTAAACATTTTATTATGAAATATATTGTTTTATGTAATGTTGTAGTAAATTTGATGAGTCATAATGAATACTCGTGAATGAAGCTACCCTTAATTATAAGTACAGCATTGTTGGGCTGGTAAGATGGACCGGAGGTTAAACCTGCTATGCAGACTGACAGCCTGAGTTCAGTCCTCTAAGCCACAGCGCAAGGAGAAAGGAAACTTTCTAGGAATTGTCCTCACCCATGTGTCTGCTGTGCCCACTTGTGCACACTAAGCAGTAGGGAAAAGGCAGAATGAACTAGAACACTGTTCTAGGATTTCCCTAGGCAGTATTTTCTCTTCGGAATTACTTTGACATGTTCACCGCTCTGCCCTCTCTGTCTCTTCTTCTTTGTCCAAGCTCAACAATCCCTCTGCCCCCAGTCACATCTGTGGCCCTCTGCTAGCTTCAGCTCTCTGTCCTGTTGTTCAGTGTGGCAGTGCCCCTCAGTTTATCTTGGATTTCATGTTGCTGGGTCTGTGTATGTGTTTTTCTGTGTAATGTACTTCTGGTCTGATACCATGTGGCTGTGGTGATTCCTGTGGGTGTTCACTGCCCAGGAATATTCATTCCATGATGTTACCACAACTAGGATAGAATTGTTTGTTGTATCAGAGAGTTTGTTTTGCTTGAAGATTAAGAAAGATAATACTGTTTCTGTATTTCTGTGATACTGGGGATCAAACCCAGGACCTTACACATCCTAAGCGATATTCCTAGTCCTTAATGTAACTTTTTATTTTTTTAAAAGATTTATTTATTATATATACAGTGTTCTGTCTGCAGGTATGCCTGCATGTCAGAGAGAGCTCCAGATCTCATAGATGGTTGTGAGCCACCATGTGGTTGCTGGGAATTGAACTCAGGACCTTTGGAAGAGCAGCCATAGCTCTTAACTTCTCAGCCCCCTTAATGTAATTTTTATTTTGAGCTGGGTCTCACTCTCTAGGCAAGGGTGGCCTTGAACTGTAGGCAGGCCTTTAATGTGCTGCCTCCCAGTTTCAGCTTTCCAACGGCTGGAACCATAGGCATGTGATGCCACAACTAGCTGTGTTGGATTAACAGTAAATAATAGTAACACAACAGAAAAGACAGTGATGAAATTGGGGAGGAGAGGCAGACTGTTCAGGGCCGGGCTTGCAGAGGGGATTGGAATTGGGTACTTGCATGGGGTTTACTGAGTGGAAGAGGGGACAGGAGAAACTGGGCAGTGGGAATAGCATAGAAGCCCAGGACATGACATAGGGGACCCTGAAGAACTACAGTTGATGTCACTACACAGTGAGGGACTAGAAGAGAGAGTTTGAAAGGTGACAGGCCAGGTCCAGTTCATGACACAGATATGATAGTAGGTATGACTAATCCATGCTTTGTCAAAACAACACTTAAAGCCAGATGTGATGTCACACACTTTTAGTTCCAGCGCTTGGGAGGCAGAGGCAGGTGGATCTCTGTGAGTTCAAGACCAACCTGGTCTACAGAGTAAGTTCCAGGACAGCCAGGACTACATAGAGAAACCCTGACTCAAAAATCAAGTCCCTCCCCTCTCCCCCGCAACAACACTTAAGTAGAAGAGCAGTGCTCAGAAGATAAAACCTTCATATTCTTCAGTGGCAAGAAGACCTATTTGCGGGTCCAACGACCCTTTCACAGAGATCACAATCAGATATTTTCATTACAATTCATAGCAGTGTCGAAACCACAGGTATGAAGTAACAACAAAAAGAATTCTATGGTTGGGGGTCAGCGCAGCACAAGGAACTGTATTGAAGGGTTGCAGCATTAGAAAGATTGGGAACACTTGCTTTGACCAAACAGGAAAGAGTGTTAGGATTTTCTCTCATGGAAACAAAACCCAGTCTTGCTTCTCTTCCTCTTAGCGGAGTTAGTCACGAAGCTTTATGAGGCGGCTGTGAAGAAAGTCCCCAATAGCGAGGAGTATCACTCTCACCTCTTCATGGCCTACGCCAGAGTGGGCGAGTACAAGAAGATGCAGCAGGTAACTGAATCCACAGGCTTCTGGGCACAGTGTAAAATCTCTAATGTGATTGAGCTGCTGTGTCTGTGGTTTGAAATGCTTTACTTGGGGAAGGTGCTTGTGCCTCTGGCTGGCTGCCGATGTGTTTGCTTTGGTTTGCTTTCAGCTTCAGATTGCTCCCTTGAGTGACATTGCTGTTCAGGTTTCAGAAAATGAATAGGCAGAGATCACAGAGCACAAAACAGACAGACAGATGATCTATAGTTTACATCCAATTAATTGAGCTGCTTTAGCCTATTCACCAGAGAAGAAGTCCCCAGGCTGGGGGACTTAATTCTTTCTTTCCAGAGGTAGCTTATTAGGAGTTCTTTGTATATGTTTGAAGGATGTTATGGTGACATTTATTTACTGTTTTTTGTGGCACAGTGGTTTAAACCCAGGGTCTACATGCTAGGCCAGTGTTATTCCGCACTGTATTCTTTTTTTTTTTTTTAGATTTATTTTTTTAACGTGCTCTAGTGTGTTCTGTATATATTCTGTGTGAGAGTGTTGTATTCCCTGGAACTATAATTTCAGACCGTTGAAGGCTACCATGTGGGTGCTGGGGATTGAATCCAGGTCCCCTGGAAGAGAAGCTGGTGCTCTTAACAGCTGAGTCCTCTCTCCAGCCCCACCCTTGATGTGTTCTTAGCTCTTTAGAAGTTGTTTTAGGGCTGGGGAAGTAGCTCAGTCAGAGTGCTCAGTGCTTGGGCTCAGTGCTCTGGGTTTACTCCCAGCATCATGTGAGATAGGCATAGTGGCACATGCCTGTAATTCCAGCACTCTGGAAGTGAAGGCAAAAAGATGAGAGGTTTGAGGTTTAGCCAGCCTGGGCACCATGAAAGACCCTTTCTTGCCCAGAATGACCTCAACTTGCCTCCAATTTCTGGAGTGGCTGGAGTTGTAGAAGTATGTCAGCACACCAAACTCAGTGTAGTGTTTTATAGGTTTTTTAACGTATTATTAAGAATAAGCCTGGCGTAGTGGCACATGCCTATAATCTAAGTATCTGGGTGTGTGGCAGGAGGATCAGGAATTGAAAGTCATCTTCTGCTGCATAATGATTTTATGTTCAAGGCTCTGGAATGAATTCAAGACCTTGTCTGAAAACAAAACAAAACAAAACCCTTGCTTGTATGTAGCTGAGTATTCTGATGGCAAAGCTTCTCTTGGAGCCCTGATAGGCTTTGAACTTAATAAGCAGTTTCTAGCCAGGCTCGAGCTTTCTGCTTCTGCCTCCTGAGTACTGGGATTGCCGGTGTGTATAACACACCTTTTTAAAATTTGAGTTTTTTAACTGTTCTTCACCTGCAGTATCACACTGTAGGAAGTCAGGCAGGGTATTGATACTGTGGTAATAGAAAGCTTTCCCCAGAATCAAGTTTATATTCTCTTACATTTTTTTCAAAGTAGAAGAACTTCTTGTGTCTCTCATGCGCTTATTTTCCTTCCTCTCTCGTGTTTGGTGCTTCAGGGTCTTTTATGTACCTGGTGTTGATCCACCCTCAGTGCAAAGCCCAGCTTTGACTCCTTGCCTTCTTTGTAGTGCCAGAGGCAGAAGAACCAGGCTTTCTGGTGCTAGGCCAGTGCTCTCCCACTGAGCTGCTCGGCCGGCCCTCTTGAGTTTTTTTCTGTGTGTATGTCTGCCAGTGGGTCCTTTGGAAGGACAACAGGCTCTCTTAACCACTGAGTCAGTCATCTCTCCAACCCCGTGACTCACTTTGATTTTGGTGATAGTCATTTCCCCTACTGAGACTTGACTTACCTGTTTAGCCTAGAGCTTCACTTTGTCTTTTGAGGTCCATCTGAAATGCTATTTTTCAGAGGATTTTATAGAAATCCTTCTCCATTTTCTCTTAAAGAGGCATGGACAACATGGGTGTGATCTCACCTTTCTTGGAATCACCTGACATGTGATTCTATTTATTTATTGTTACTTTTAGTGTGTATGCACGTGTGTGCTTATGCTTATGTATGGGTATATGCATGCATGTAAGTGCTGGAGGCATCAGATCCCCCCCCCACCCCCCCACCCCATACTGGAGTTACAGGCAGTTGTGATGTGCCTGACATGGGCATTAGAAATCGAATTCAGGCCTTCTGGAAGAACAGTATATGCTCTTTACCCAAGCCATCTCTCTAGCCCCTTTTATTTGTGTGTCTGTGTGTTTTCTGCTTGTATATTTGTGTACAGTACTAGAGGGCAACTATCCATCTGGGTCTATAGTTACAAACAGCTGTGAGCAGCCTTGTGGGTGCTGGAACCTGAATCTGGATCCTATGGAAGAGCAGCCAGTGCTCCTAACACTGAGCCATTGTACTTTTAATCATGGAGCTTTCTTTCTAGCCTGTACCATGGTGTTTTTATGCACATTTCTATTGCTAGGTAAATTTTAACTGGTTAGGTGTATGTTATACATCTGGGAGATGGGTATAGGAAGATAAGAATTCAGAGCCAATTTTAGATACATAGCAAGTCGGAGGCCAACTTTGGCTGTGGGATACCCTGTGCCCAGAAAAGAATCAAGGAGTGGAGAGATAACTTAGTTGGGTAAATGCTTGCCATGTAAACACAAGGTCTGAGTTTGAGTCTCAGTGTCTAGGTAAAACATTAAGGATGATGGCTTACTTGTAATTCCAGTGCTAAGGAGCCTCATATTTTTCTGTTGCCAGACAACCTAGCTTAATTGACAAGCCCCAGGTCCCAGTAAGAGACCTGGTCTCAAAAAGCCAGGCGAACAGCTCCTGAGGGCCAATCCCTGACGTTGCCCTCTGGCCTCCAGAGGCATGTGCACACATGTGAGTCCATATGCATGAACACACATCATCCCCGGTGGATTGTTTGTGTGTGTGGTTTACATTTTGCCTTATCTCTTTCTTGTTTGTGCTGGGTTTTGCTCATGCCTGGAAAAGGTTCCTTTCCTAAGTTCAAAGGGCCTTGGGGACACCAATCTAGTAAGCTTTCCGTTTGCATCTGCTCCAAGGATGGGCATATTGTGTAAAAGGGTTAGTCACCTTTTCTGTCTGTTGTTTGAGACGGGGTCTCATGTTGCTCACTCACTCATAATATCTAAGCATTACCTTGCACTCTCAAGTTCTGGGAGGCCATGCTCATTACAGCCACGTTCCATTGTATGGCTGGTGGGGTCAGTTGTAGTTTTTGATAGCTTGGAAGGACCTAATATACCCCACCAAGCTCAGCTCCTGTCAGGTGGCCCTGCTTTGCCATAGCTGTTTTAGTGCCTTCAGTGAGGACTGCTGCTGTGGCTTGTTTTCTTGGATGGGTTCTCAGCCCAGGCTGACCTCAGAACTCCCTGGGAAGCTGAGGGTGATTAAAGTGCCTCTGTCTCCCAGGTGCCTGAGACTACAGGCGGGCGTACCCATCCCTGGGCCTGGTGTATGCATTGCACCTAGGGCTTTGGCCATGAAGGGCAAGCATTCTACCAACTGAACTCCACCTCAGCCTAAAGATCACATGGATGGACACTCAGTCAAATTCCGTGGGGTTTGGTATTCTTCCTAGAACCGTACTGTGTCACATCCATTTCATGAGTTTGGACTTCAATAGTTCCAAAGTTGAACTGTCTGTCTCTCAGAATGTAAAACTTGGCATTTACGATTATTCATGTTGCTATAGTGATGAGGTGACCAGGCACTGCTACCAACTAGAGTGTATAATTGTGTTGCTGGTCTCCGTGGAAATGTACCACACACCCAGATTCATTTTTGTTTTCATTTTCAGTTTATTGATTGTTGTCTATCTGATATTTTTTAAATTAAGCTCTTTCTCTTCTAGGCTGGCATGGCTCTGTATAAGATTGTCCCCAAAAACCCTTACTACTTTTGGTCCGTGATGAGCTTAATCATGCAAGTAAGTACACTGCTCAGGATCAATTAGTCTGTCTTTACCATTGTCTTGAACTTGGGTAATATGCTGCCCAAGTGTCAGGAGGGTCTTGATGGATCACCCCTTGGCTTTTCAAGTTGAGGATGCCTGGTAGTCTTTGTTTAATTGCATTTATTTTATGTGTATGGTGTTTTGCCTGTATGTATGTCTGTGCACCATGTGTGAACCGGTGGCTGCTGAGGCCAGAAGAGGGTGTGTGATCCCTTGGAATTGGAGTTACAAACAGTTTTGAGCCTCCATGTGGGTGCTGGGAATCAAACCAGAGTCCTCTGGAAGAACAGCCAGTGTTCTTAACCACTGAGACAGTTTTCCAGCTTCCTTTATTTAGTATTGTTTTGTTTTGTTTTGAGACAGGGTATCTCCTTGTACACTTGCTTTGTAACCTAGATTGACCTCAAATTCGAGGCCTCCACCTCTTGAATTTGGGGATTACAGATGAGGTGGCCACCATGCCTGGCTGCTTGTTATTTTCTCCATTGTCCTATTAGTTTACTGAGAATGGGCTCTCAACTCAAGTGTCTGCAGAGGACTTGAGTATTGGGATTACAGATGTGCACCACACCTGACTTATATTTGTTCTTAGGAAGCCTCAGTTTCATGGTGATGCACGCCTGGAACCCTAGCACAGCATGGAAATTTGGAGTTTGAGGCTGAGCTAGGGTATAAGTGAAACCGTGTCTGAAAAGATAAAAATCCAGCTCAACAAACCAAGCTCTGGGGGGGGGGGGGGGGCAGGACTATCTTCAAGTGTGTGGGGCTTACCACAAATTGCCAAGATACTGGAGGAACTCCTCTCTCTCTCTCTCTCTCTCTCTCTCTCTCTCTCTCTCTCTCTCTGCCTTCCTTCCTTTCTTCCTTCCTTCCTTCCTTCCTTTCTTCACAGGGTTTCTCTGTGTAACAGCTATAGCTGTCCTAGAACTTGCTGGTCTCAAACTCATAGAGATCTGCCTGCCTCTGCCTTCCTAGCACTGGGATTAAAGGTGTGTGCCACCACCACTTGGCATTCCCCTAATTTCTTTTATTTGTAAAGTGAATACATACCTACTTTGAAAGGTTGTGTTCCTTGTGTGCGCCCTGAGCAGAGTCTGTGCACTGTTCAGTTAGCAGTGGTCCTGGTTTTAAAATGATGGCTGTATGGTAATAGCAAGAACTGTGTAAGTAGATGGTATTGGCATGTATTCTCTTCTAGCTGTGTTAACATATCAAGATACAATGTAAACAGCTTCCTTCTTGGCACCCTAGCTAGTAATGTGTGTAATACCCACCAGAAACCCATCCTCTTTTGAGTAGTTATAGGTCATGTGTAGGAATGCATGGGATGCTAAGGTGGCCACCATTCCTTGTATCCACATGATAGATCCAGATTAGGTGTGATATGTATGTGCACAGTGGACTGGGAGCCAGAGTCAGGTCATAGCGATCTGCTTGTTAATGTGAACAGAGCAAGCAGGAGAGAGTCACAGAAAAACTCTTATCTTTTCTCTTGTAGTCTATATCTGCACGAGATGAAAACCTCTCAAAAACCATGTTTCTGCCCCTGGCAGAGAGGATGGTAGAGAAAATGGTGAAAGAAGACAAGATAGAAGCTGAAGCTGAAGTGAGTATGTGCCTTCCTCCACTCTTCCCAGTGCCACAGTGCTGTAGGCTCCTATCCCAACGGCCGCTTCAGAGCGGCTCACCCCAGTGGGGCCCTGGCTTAGTCTAGGCACCATGAAGCCAAGCTGTCTCAGGAAAGTGTACTCTGCCAAGATGTGTGTGGAAAGGGAAGGTCACTGACAGGTTCTGTTAATAGTTGTAATGAATACACAGGTGGTGTGTCCTGCTGATATCTCAGTGCTCTGTTTGTGTCTTCTCAAGGTTGAACTTTACTATATGATCCTGGAACGCTTGGGGAAGTACCAGGAAGCCCTGGATGTCATTAGAGGGAAATTAGGAGGTAACTTTAAAAGTTTTCGGTTTTGTTTTTAATTTGAAGATGAAAATTATTTGTGGTGGGAAAATATTCCTATCGTGGTAAATAAGGATCAGGATAAACAAATAGGCCGAATAGATGTTTATTCAGGGAGAAATAACTTACAACCTAGACAGATGAACACCAGGAAATTCAACCCGATCCTCTCCTGTCCGAGTCACGCCAGAAAGAGAGAGCCTTTCCTGGCCCCCTCCGACCTCCTTCCACAGGTCACTCCGCCCATGGCTCCACCCCCCAATGGGCGTGGTCAGTGCCACAGAACTATCTCCCTACATATTCCCATACAGTCATAGAGTTTGCTGTATACTTCTGTGTTCTAAATTTGTATTTAAACTATTTTTGGTTTTTTGAGACAGGGTTTCTCTGTAGCTTTGGAGCCTGTCCAGGAACTCACTCTGTAGACCAGGCTTACCTCAAACTCACAGAGATCCGCCTGCCTTATGATTAAACTATTAAATACTTTTATTCCCAGCACTTGGGAGGCAGAGGCAGGCATGATCTACACAGTGAGTCCAGGATAACAGAGCTGTGTAGAGACACTAACAATTTTTTAAAATGAATTCATACAATACATTTTGATTGTAATCATTCTCCACCCTCTCAACTTCCCCCAGGCCACCCCCATCTCACTCTTCCTTCCCCACCCCCAGTTTGTGCTGCTCACAAACTCCTGGGGTTTAACTTTTTTGTTTTGTTTTTTGCCTTTTTGAGACAAGATTCCTCTCGTAGGAATGCTGTCCTCTGTAGACCAGGATGGCCGTAAAACTCACAGAGATCCTCTAGCTTCTGCCTGCTGAGTGCTGGGACTAAAGGAGTGTGCCACTACTACGCCAGCTCAGGTTAAACTGTCTTTAACTGAAGCTTCTTGAGGGCTCAGACTGAAGGTGTGACAGTATCCTACGTCTCTAATCCTGTCACAGTCCCGTTGCTGCTGCTTGTTCTTGCTAGGCCTTACTGTATGTGTTTGGGTGGTTGCTGCATGTATGTGAGTGCATGTTATGTGTGTAGTGCACACAGAGGCCAGAGAAGGCATTGGATCCCCCAGAGACTGCTGTCATGAATTGTTGTGAGCTACCATGTGGATGCTGGGAATTAAACCCAAGTCCTTTGCAAAAGCAACAAACAAATGCTTGCTCTTAACTGCTAAGAGCCTTTCATTTTTTTGAGAGTCTTAACTCTGCAGTCCTGGGTGGCCTGGAACTCTGCCTGTAGCTCAGACTTCCTCAAACAGCAATCCTGCTGCCTTGGCCTCATGGGTGCTGGGATTACAGGCCAGAGCCATCATGCCTGGCCAAAAAAAAAAAAAAAAAAAAAAAATGTCCTGTTTGGAGACAAGGTCTCAATGCATAGCTCTGAGTGGTCTGGAATTCATTCTGTGAACCAAATCAGCCTCACATGTACTTACCGCAGCCTTTGTCTCTTGAATGCTGGCAGTATAGCTAAGCACCACCACTCCTGGTCCCAGTTACTGCTTTTGGGATCTTTTTGTTTGTTTGGGTTTTTTTATTTTGAGACAAGGTTTCTCTGTGTAGCCCTGGCTGTCCTGAAACTCACTCTGTAGGCCAGGCTGGCCTCAAACACAGAGGTCCACCTGCCTCTACCTCGTAAATGCTTGAATTAAAAGCTTACACTACCACTGCCTGGCCATTTTACTTCATTTTCTTTTATAGATTTGGGTGTTAGGCCTGAATGCATATCTGCACCAAGTGAGTGTGTCAGCTGAGCTTTCCAGTTCTGAGTTAGCTCAGTGGATCTTCAGTGATCATCCAAATTTATTGCTGCAAATGCAGTTTTCTATTTAGGAAGAGGATCTTTATAAAATACTAGTGTGTATTCTAAGAGTGAGTTCATTTTTTATGTTTTAGCTCTTGGAGACAGTTTCTTTGTGTAATAGTCCTGGCTGCCCTGGAACTCACTGAGGTCTGCCTGTCTCTGCCTCCCAAGTGCTGGGTTTAAAGATGTATGCCACCACCACCTGAGTTTATTTTCTTGGGAACAAAAAAAAGGGGGGGGACTTTTTCCCCCCCAGTGATTAGATTTTATTCTATTAGACATGAAAATAGCCCATTAATTTTTATACTTTTTATTATAGAGAAATTGACAAGTGAGATTCAGAGTCGGGAAAACAAATGCATGGCCATGTACAAGAAACTGAGCAGGTGGCCAGAGTGCAACGCCCTTTCCAGACGCCTCCTGTTGAAAAAGTGAGTAGACGCCACTGCCTGTGAGCTGAGAGCCCCTGGAGGTTTTCTGGCTCTGAGACTAATGCTGCTGTGTGCTGTAGAGAGTTCTGGGTGTATTTGAGAGGTTTTACAAATTTTCAGTGAGCTTTATTTTTTGGTAAGACCTAATGATGCCTGGGCAAGGGTGGAGAATGAGCGCTGAGTTACTGTATCACTTTTTGTTTGTTTTTGCCTTTTGAAACAAGGTTTCTCAGTGTAGCTTTGGCTGTCCTGGAACATGTTCTCTAGACCAGGCTGCTCTGGATCTGTCTGCCTCTTCCTCCTGAGTACTGGGGGAAAAGGTGTGTGCCACCACTGCCTGGCAAGTTATTTCCCTCTTCATCCCAGCTCCTTAGGAAGAGCTCACTGGGGAATTTTCTTCTATGAATGTTAGTCTTTGAGCATCTGAAAAGCCCTGGGCTCTGACAGCCCCTGCAGCACCACCCTGTGGGTCCTGGGACACCTGGGCATGACTTAGAATATCAATTGAAGTCATGGTTCCTAAGGAAGCTTTGTCATAACTTGGGTTTAATCCTGTGTGCATCATTCAATCTGATTTTAGCTCAGATGACTGGCAGTTCTATCTGACTTATTTCGATTCTGTCTTTCGACTGATTGAAGAGGCCTGGACACCTCCTGCTGAAGGGGAACAGTAAGTTGTCATCTTTCTTCTCTTTCATATCTGTTATTTTTTTTTTAATATTTATTTATTTGTATGTAGTACTCTGTCCGCATGCACACCTGGGGAGACCAGAAGCAGGAACCAGATCTCATAGATGGTTGTGAGCCACTATGTGGTTGCTGGGAATTGAATTCAGGACCTCTAGAAGAGCAGCTGGTGATTTTAACCTCTGAGCCATTTCTCTAGCTCTCATTTTCTTATCTGAACAGTCTTTAGTTTTAGTTGTCATTATGTAAGGAGTGATGTATGTGTTACATATTTTTAAATTTCTTCACAGATGTTATTTAACATGAACAATTTGCCTGGAGATAGATAGATAGATAGATAGATAGATAGATAGATAGATAGATAGATAGATAGATAGATAGGCATGCATGCATCCTGTGTGTACCTAGTGCTCAGGGAGGCCAGAAGAGGACTCGGATCCCTTGGAACGGGATTGAGTGCCATGTGGGTGCTGGGATTGACAGCCTACTAGAACAGCATGATTGATGAGCCATCTCTCTAGCCTTTACCTTACATTTTAAAAGGTGTGGTTTTGGTAGCTTACAGTGACACCCTGAGGATTTTAAATCTGTGTCCCCAAATGGTTGTTATCTTTGAGTTACAGTTTCACTTTCTGTGGATTGGGAGTTGACCACCAGGGCTTACATTAGTATGCAGGCCTTCTCAGCACTGAACTGTATCCTCAGCACAGTGACTGCTGTTTTGTCTTAGCCTGAGTGCTGGGATTCAGCCATGTGTCAGCATGGGTGGATTATAGTGGTGTTTTTTGAGTGTGGTGGAGGAGAAGGCCTTTATTGTGCATCCGTTATTCTTTATCTTTCCACAGATACATTCCTTTAAAATAATCCCTGTAAGATTCTTTATCCCCCTTAAGCAAATCCTGATAGCACCTTGCCACCCCACTTTGCTTTTATCTTTAACACAGTGTGTATAACGTGTGTGGGGTTAGACAAGGCCGTTGTCGTGGTGTCTTCCTCCCGAAAATTCCTGTAGGTCTTTCTTATGTGCTAGATGTAAGTCTGTTTCGTCTTTTTGTGAGTGGATCAAGAGTGTCTTTTAGAGACGTTTATAATCCAATGTCTCTGCTCTAGACTGCAGTTAGGCTACTGCAGAAACTTTTCTTCTCCCTTTCTGTAGGTGATTAGAAGCAAGCTTATAGAGAATCTTTAAAAAACAATTGGTTTTGTTTTGCTTTGTGTTTTTGAGACAGGGTTTTCTGTGTGTTTCTGACTTTCCTGGATCTCACTCAGTAGACCATGCTGACCTCGAACTCAGAGATCTACCTGAGTCTTGCCTCCTGGGATTAAGTTGTCCGCCACCACTGCCTGGCTAAAAAAATCAGTTTTTTAAAAGGCTTCATTTATAATGTGGCCACTCTTGCCTCCAGTTCTGGGGATCAAGTCCAGGGCCTCGCATGTGTTCTGTTGTAAAGTGGATAGTGTACTCGGTAGTAAAGGTAAAGTGTTCAAAATATATAGTGAAAAACTGTCACAATACCTTCCCATTTAAACTGTTTCTGTGTCTTGGGTGTAGGTTTCTGACATGCAAACTTGAACCCTTGAAAAAGATTTTTCTTAAAAAAAATTATAGAGAATCATAAGTTCCAATTTGAACAATATTTTTTGTTGTACTTTATACCTTATTTACAATAAAAACCTTCCTTTGTTATTTAAAAAAAACACTTCATTTAGCCAGGTGTATTGATGTACACCTTTAGTCTCAATACTTGGGACTCAGGAGGCAGAGGCAGGTGGATTTCTGAGTTCAAGTCTGGCCTGGTCTACAGAATGAGTTCCAGGATAACCCCGGGGTACACAGTGAAACCCTTGTCTTGAAACAACAAAGAAAAAAAAAAAAAAAAAAAAAAAAAGACAAAAATGCTTTATACATTTGTGTGTGTGTGCTTGTGGGCTACCACCTTGTGGGAATGAGTCCCCTCTTCATACTCTGTGGCTTCTGGCTCATAGAGTCACTTTAACTGCTGATCCATCTTGCTGCCTATAATTTTGTAGCTTGTTACCTGTTAGATCCAGCTCATGGGTTTCTCACAGCTGCTTAACCGCACATGGGTTACACCCCTCAACTTCATTTGTAGAGACTGTGCTAAGCCCTCTGAGCATGTGAAGCAAGTGATTTCCTACTAATCACACTGCCCACCATTGTCTGTTGTTTTGTTCCTTTTTTTGTTTGAGACAGGGTCTTAGCAGTTGTGGAACTATGTAAACCTCGCTGGTGTAGAACTCATAGAGATCTGTCTGCCTCTTCCTCCCAGGTACTAGGAGCCCTTCCTTGACTGTTTGAGGCTGGTGCTGACTTTGCTTAGTCTCCTGAAACCTGCTACAGGCATGGCTGTAGCTGTGGTGTCACATTCTGCCAGTGTGTATTTATTGCTGATTTTATTTTTTGTAGATAGCAGAGTGTACTTTCTTATGATCAGTCTGACTAGGCTTCAGCTTTGTGGGGCCTGTTGGAGGCAGTAATGGTGCCTGCCCTGTGTTTCCTCCAGCTCCTTAGAAGGGGAAGTACACTGCTCTGCAGAAGACGCCGTGAAGTTTATAGAGGACAGGATAACAGAGGCATCACAAAGTGCCCGACATGTCCGAGGCCCACACCTTGCAAAGTTGGAGCTCATCAGGCGCCTGCGGAGCCAAGGCTGTAATGATGAGTACAAGCTGGGTAAGAACTGTTGGGTGTTGAGGAGCACTAGAGAAGATGAAGGATACCCTTCAGAGTGCAGTCAATGTGCTTATTACCCAAAATTAATTACTAAAGATGGTTTATTTATAAAATCTGTCTTCAGCCCATATTTGGCTTGGCTTTATTTTATTTTTATTTCTTTCATTTATATTACATCCTGACTACAGTTTCCCTTCCCTCCTCCTCTCCCATTCCCTCCCCACATTGGCTTAGCTTTTTATATGTGTGTCTGATCAGGCCATCAGGTCCTTGGTGACCCAGTATAAAAAGAAGTTTCCATTCTCACTATTTCTCAGCGTTTATTGGCATTCTTTCCAATTTGCTTTTGTGTGAATGGATTTCACTTAGTAGCCCAAGCTTACCTGGAACTCTGCCTCCCCATTGTGAGCTACAATGCCATTTATTTTTTAGACGGTGGGAAGGGTTGCCTGGAGCTGGCCATTAATTGAGGATAACCTTAAACTGACTCTCCCGATTCAGCCTCTCAAATGCTGGGATTATAGGTGTGCCTACCTTGGGTTTTGGGGACAGGGATTCTTTGTGTAGCCCTGGCTGTCCTGGGACTTACTCTATAGAAGAGGCTGATCTTGAACTCGCAAAGATTTGCCTGCCTTTGCCTCCCGAGTGCTGGGATTAAAGATGTGCCACCACTGCCCAGCAACACCATATCTAACTCTTATCTTTTTTTTTTTTTTCTTTTTTATATTTTTTTATTTCATGTTATTTTATTTTTTGAGACAGGGAATACTGGTGGTCTTAAAGGTGTGTGCCACCATGACTGGCTTCAGGCCAAGTTAATGTAAATAAAACAGATGCTTCAGATTAGAGATGTCACTGAAATAGTCACCCCAGTCTGTGAGTAATGTAGTATCCTCCTCTTTAAGGTGACCCGGAAGAGCTAATGTTCCAGTATTTCCAGAAGTTCGGGGATAAGCCATGTTGCTTCACAGACCTGAAGGTGTTTGTTGACCTCCTGCCTGCTGCCCAGTGCACACAAGTACGTGTCCCTCAGAGTTCTGCTAGTGTCCTTCGTGTCTGTCCTTGCACTCTAGTGCAGGAGGAGGCGGTAAAGAGTAATAGTACCTGGCACTGTCAGGTCTAGAACCACTGGAGAACCACACCTAGATGTCTCACTTGTCAGCAGGCGTTGATTTTCCTGAGATGGTTCACATGGCCCCAGGTCCTTCCCCTACCTTCAAACATGGAGGTCTTGTGTGAGCCGTTGCACCAGGCTGACTTCTCATCTCAAGGCTGAGCAGCCCGAAGTCAAGAAAGTCTGGCACTTTTGTGGCCTGTACATCTTGCTATTTCTTTACAGGCTGGAGAGCCATGTATAGGAGCCCTCTAGACCAGTGGTTCTCAACTTTCCTAATGCTACAACCTCTTTAATACAGTTTCTTGTGTTGTGGTGACCCCAACCATAAGATTATTTTGTTGCTACTTCATAACTATGATTTTACTCCTGTTAAGAATTGTTGTGTATATATCTGATATGTGACCCTGAAAAGGGGTGACTTATAGGTAGAGAACCACTGCACTAGACTCTTTCATATTCAAAAGTGTTTAGTGCATGTGCCAGAGTTGTCCTTGCTTGTAGGCAGTTGGGGGCCTTTACCCACTGGGGAACATTGTGCCTGAGGTAGGATAGCACCATGTGCAGAGATGCAGGCATGAATAAAGCAGTATCTGCCACTTACTTGACTGGGAACTTATGCTAGGGCTGCTTCTGCTTCCTCAAAGCCTTCTGTGCCCACGAGCAGTAAATGAAGTGGACTCCTCAGTTGGGTTCTGAAAGACTTCATGCTTGTCTTCGTGGAGCCGTTCTTGAGATGTTTGTATACAGGGCTCATGCCGACAACTTACCATGCAGGGAGAAAGAGCCTGGGTTTTAGGAACATTTGAAAGTTATTTGAGAGAAAATTAGTACAGTGGAAAAGAAGTTTGGTCTAGGCAGGCATATCTAAACAGCTGTCTTACAGAAGATGGACAAGAAGAGGGAAGAGAATATTTTTATAGGGAATTCAGATTTTGGTTCAGTGTGAAAAAGGCAGTAGTCAGTATCCTCCAAAAATACAGTGGTTTTTGTTTCTGGTGGGAATCTCAGTAGAATCTAGGTGACCACTTGAGAGCTGGTGAGTGGGCCATGTACAAGTTCCAGGACAGCCAGGCTACACAGAGAAACTCTGTTTCCAAAAAACCAAAGGAAAAGAAAGAAAATTATAAAAACATGTATAATCATTAAAGGTAAGCCCCCCTCCTCTACCCACGGTTTTTCAATGTAGGGTCTTTCAGTGTCGCCTTCGCTGTCCTGGAACTCACTCTGTAGACCAGGCTGACCTGAAACCCACTGAGATCTGCCTGCCTCTGCCTCCTGAGTGCTGGGGTTAAAGATGTGCGACACCATCACATGGCAAAGACAAGGTCTTTGGGGGTTGGAGAGATGGCAGAGAGATTAGGAGCACTATTTGCTCTTGGGGAAATTCAGGTTTGATTCCTAACACCCACATGGTGGTTCATAATTATCTGTACAGAGATCTAGTGACTGCTTCTGTCATAGATATAGACAGGCAAAACACCCATATACATAACTTAAAGGAAAAGGCGGTGGAGGAGGACCTGTTGTGGCTCAGTTTGCATAGCCATGATGATCTTTAACTTGTAGGCCTGCAGCACACCTGGTCTGTGTGAGCTAGAGGTTGGACAATAGCTGTGGGTATGCAGACAGTCTATAGAGCATCTCAGGAGTCTTATGCATTGTGTGACCTTTGTTCCTCCTCTCTGCAGTTTATTAATCAGCTTCTTGGAGTTGTTCCATTGTCAACACCAACAGAGGACAAGCTTGCCCTGCCAGCTGACATCCGTGCCCTGCAGCAGCATCTATGTGTTGTGCAGCTGACAAGGCTGCTTGGCTTGTACCACATCATGGATAAGAACCAGAAGCTGGGTGTGGTCAGAGAGTTGATGTTAAGGTACCAGCACGGACTGGAATTTGGTGAGTAGCCATCCAGATGTGAGTTCCCCTCCTCCCCCCAGTCTGCTATACTGCTAAGTCTATATGTAGAGTACCCAGAGCACACTGGTCTAATGCATGTGTCTGATATTTCATTAACTGCTTCCCCAGCCTGAGCAATTTTCAGAAGTTTAGGTAGGCAACAATACGTGTCTGGTATCTGCTCCTCCTGAGCGCTGGGTGTTCCATGACTCTTAAGCAAGTCCCATGACTGGTCAGGGCTTTTGAGCTTGGGGGCTGTGACCTTATGTCCTCACTCTGCTTTGTGAAGCAGAGTAGTGTAGTGTGCATTGTGAGGTACCCTTCAGTGCACAAGCTGGGGCTGACTGGCTTTAAGCTGCTCTGTAGAAGTGTCACTTGAGCACTAAGTTCCTGCGTTAAGAACCTTTGGTAGGAGAGCCTGATGTGAAGTTAGTTAAGCTCAGGCCCTCACTTTTCACCTCAAACTTCTTCAGATCTTCTCCCTTGTAAAGACTGGCATATGCGCCTTCTCCCCTTGAATATTCTGTTCCAGCTGAGTGTGGCTTCTTGTAACCATTCTGGTTTGTGTTATTTCCATGTACCCCTGCCCCCCTTTCCTTCTACCCACCCTTCTTTCTTGCTCCCATCTTTTGTGGTGCCTGGGTAGAAGCCAGTCGCTCATGCATGGAAGTGCTTATGTCCATGCTACATCCCCCATTACTATGGCTTCTATTTGTCTTCAGTTGTTTGGTTTTGTGTTGTTTTTCCTGACAGGGTTTCTCTGTGTAGCTCAGGCTGTCTTGGAACTCGTGGAGGCCCCCCCCCCCCCACCTCTGCCTTCTGAGTGCTGGGATTAAAGTCATACGCCACCACTGCTGGCTTACTCGTCTTATTCTTACTTTCTTTTTCGTTTCCACTGTTTCTGCCTGTCATAACCCTTCCTCAAAAGGTAAACAAAGTCTCCCGTAGCAGCACTCGATGGGTAACAATTAAAAACAGTTTTGGTTTCTCCCTAGGGCGCTCTTGTTTGAAGACAGAGTTGCAGTTCTCTGACTATTATTGCCTCCTTGCTGTCCACGTGCTCACTGATATATGGAGAGAAGCAGGTAGGACACCAGGGATGGGGGGGTAGGTGGGGAGGGTTACTGGAGATGGAGGCCACACTGGAAACTGAACCATGGATCCTTGGGCCCAGCTCAGCAGCTGTCTAAGTGTGTCTGCATAATGCACAATCAGTGTGAAATAAAGCTAGAGATTAGATACATCCACACTGATTGAAAGGCAGATGGGCAACCCAAGGGCAGAAGAACCCTTCTTAGTTACTGATGTTTTGTTTGGTTCCTTAAAGATGAGTGGGTGATGTGCTTTGGTTCTAGGTGAGGAGACTGCTGTATGGCAGGCCCTGACTCTGCTGGAAGAAGGCTTAACCCACAGCCCGTCCAATGCTCAGTTCAAATTGCTGCTTGTTCGAATCTACTGCATGCTGGGTGCATTTGAGCCAGTGGTGGATCTTTACTCCAGCCTTGATGCTAAGCATATCCAGCACGACACCATTGGGTTGGTAGTATATACTCTGAATACTCACTTGTAGATGATAGCAGAACAGGACTCCAGACACCAGTCACTGCTGTGACCCACTGCAAAGCAGCAGGGCATGCTGTCTCCAGGCACGAAGGAGCTTACCGTTTAAATCATGCTAAGGCTATGTGGCCTCTTTTGTTGGGTGGCATGTCTCCACGCAGCCAGCTGTATGTTTCGGACTTCTCTTTAGCACACTATATTTTGAAGTCACTACTTCTCCCTTGCCAGTGACCTAGAGTACCCCTTTGGGTTTGATTTTTGGCTATGCTATGCAATTATTTACAGGTATTTTTCTATTTTGCATATGGGAAGAGACCATAATTTTCTCTCACCAGCTTTATGGTTCTGATATTTTCAGGTATAAAGAAAGAACTCTGTTCATTTTCTTTTAATTTGAACCTGTGAACTAAATTGTTCTGCTCATAGTGTTTTTGTTTGTTCTTTCTTGTCGCCTAGTATTAGATAGTAGAATGAGGTAACTGTAACTCGTTTTCTCTCTCTTTCCTACTCAGCTACCTTCTGACCCGATATGCTGCATCCTTGGGTCAGTATGCTGCGGCCTCCCAGTCCTGTAACTTTGCACTCAGGTTTTTCCACTCCAACCAGAAAGATGTAAGTGAAACCCATTGGTGCTATGATTTACTGCTGACTGACATGGTCCATGGTGTACCACTTCCTAGGGTCACAGGATACATGTCATGTGGTACCGTGCTCTATTGCTGACAGGTGCCCTTAGACTGAGTTGAATCATCCAAGGCCACTAGGTAGAGATATTTGCATTTGTTCAATGTGCATGTCTAGATTGAGCCCTTGAAGTTTACATTTTCAACTGGGCATTGACAGACTAAGAAGTCATTTGTCTCCTAGCTCTGTGTTTCACAGACTATTCAGAGCCTTGTCATGATTGGAAGCCAGAGGCTGCCGCTCGTGCAGTTGAGCTGTCCTGGCGGGGTGAGGGTGGACCTGAGTGCAGTATGGCAGTCTTCCTGGCTACGTAGTTGGGCCCATAGGTTAAGGATGTTCTCCTGCTGTCCACATGCTCTCAGTTGGTGGTCTGGCAAAACTGTCCAGGAGCTAGTGTGCAGAGAAGGCGTGTTGTTAGAGTGGCCACTGCTGCTGTGCTCCTTGTGTGTGCCTAAGTCTCACTTTCTGGAGTTTGGCCATGTCACACTCTGCCTGTGGCTTTCCATTTTCCTGGTCTCTTGACATCATTGAGCTTAGTGAGGCAGTTGGTTGCCATCTGAGTTTCATCTTACTCTTGAGGCCTTTGCTTTAAAGTCATGCCTGACTTCCACTTGCTTCTTGAGAGGCATGTTAGAGAATAGAGAAGCAGAACAGAACTTCTGAACAGTGTCTTCTGATCTGTTGGTGTGCAGTGGCAGAGGACAGCTCCTATCCTGGAGAAGGCTGACCAACCCCTCTGCCTCAGTCCACACTATCAACTTGTCTGTCTGCTGTCCTGAACATATTGGAATCTGTGGAGACCTTCTCCCTGATGAGAGAGAAGAGGGTATCCGCGTCTAAGCCTGTTGTTTCCAAGGTGCCAGCTTGGCACAGAGGCTGGAAGCCTTATCTCAGATCCTGGGCTAAACTTCCAGTGTATAGAACTGAGTGATAAGTAAATCTGTGGCTACACAGTGCATTCAAGAATCTGTGATTGCCCTCCTCTGTTTTCCACTTTCCTCAAATCTCACTGTTTCAGCTCTTCTTTCTGTATTTATAAGGAAGAGGTTGAAGGCTTAAAATTTGAAACAGGGCTTTGCAATGTGTGTGTGTCTCCAAGCTCCCTCTCTGTCTTCCTGCCAGACCTCAGAGGGGTCAGTGTTTTGATTGGTCACTGATGCAGCTAAATGTACATGATGTTGAGCCTGATGAATTACCTACCATTTTGTTGACTGTGGAGTAACAGGCCCTTCCTTGAGTATATACTGGTGCTACTTTAACCATTTAGCTTAGCCCATCAGTAAGGACCCGAGGCAGTGGTGCCTGTGTCCCCATTAAGGAAGCAGAGCCCTGAGCCCGTTGGGGTGGCTTTCTGCAAAACCCAAATACTGTGTTCTGTAGCTTTCATTCTCTGGTTTTGGGGGTTTCCCAAGTGCTTGTTCCCTTGGGTAACTAGTATATTTCACTTCCTAATTAGTTCTTCAACATAGCCCTTTTTAAGAAGCAAACCCACTGTTGTTGGTGGGCTTTGTGCTGTGGGTTGAAAGTTATCTTTGGATGTCTGTGTATTGTCATTTGCTTGGGAATCAGTGTCAGGTTTATTCATTGCCAAAAGTCGCTTCAATGTTTATGGTTTTAAAAGCTTGCTTTTGGGTGACAGACATGGCATAGTGGTGAAGGGCATGCTGGACTTGCAGGGCCTGTGGCTACGTCAGGCAGATGAGGACCATTTGTAACCAGGTCCCGAGGATCTGCCCAAACACACATCACAGAATTAAAAGTAGTTAAAATCTTTTCAAAGTTCTCTGAAGTCTCTGTTTTAGGTATTTGTAAAGGTCATGCTTTAAAGTCTGATACCCATGTAACTTTGCTAATTTTCACAGTGACCAGGGTTCATTTCAGGGATCCTTCTGGCATCTAACTAGCCTCGTTGGTGCACAAATGAATGGGAGTGGGGTGGATGCACACTCTGGCCAGTAGTCCTTAGTGTGCCTGTGTTTGTGTTTGGCTGCATTCCACAAGGCTCAAGGCCTCAGCAGTGATGTGCTCAGCCTCCTGCTATGCTCCCTGGGCCCTTGGCTAGCTCTGCAGAGCCACTTTACTGTGACATTTAGGGGGACTCTCAGTCAAATGGACAGAGATCTGCAGCCACTCCTGGCTTATTCCAGACTATATTTATCCCCTAGTTGCCCCTTGTTTCTCTCTTTGAAAAGCTACCGTCTCTTTTCACAAGTGACGTTCTATGGGCCACTGAGGTCCCACTGAGGGAAGGCTGGGTCTCACGTTGGAATTGCATTCTGTGTAAAACCACACAAGTCTGTTTCCATCCTGGCTAGCTGGAAGTGTTTTCAAGTTGTCAGTTCCCATTGCAAGGGTCAGCAGTCAACCCTGCTGTGTCTTCTAAGTTGGGGACTAGAGGAGAGAAGGATGTGATAAGTGTGGGCCTCTTGAATGGGGCATGCTGGTGTCCTCTGTCAAGCTGGCAGGTAGTCCTAAACCCGCAGGATCACACATAATCTTTTTAATTTTCTTGTGTCCGTCCGTCTTTAATCTCTCCAGATACTGCAGGCAAACAGCTGGCCGAGGTGTCCCCTGGGGGTTTAAAAGCCGCATCGAATGCAGTTGACTTAGCGCCCGTGGCACAACCCCACGGCCTGAAATGAACCCTGCGAGGCTGTGTATCAGAGGGTATGTTGTTGACTATTGGCCTATTTTCCTACTGGGCAAATTACTCAGGCATAGTGGAAATGGGGGCAGAGCAAGCAAACTAAGGCTAGGCAGAAAAAACGGGCTTTTCCAGAAAGTGTCTTCATGGCAGACATCAGCATTGAGCTAAACACTTCCTTGGCCCACAGGGGTGATCTGTCTTCTGTTCCTGGTGGCTTCCGTTGCACCAGTGCTTGATAAGGAACTCTGTCTTGCCTTTGCTCTGCAGCATTTCGTCTGATGATTTTAATCTGTAGTTAAATACACGTGTGAGCGCTCCCTCCTTTCCCTTGGTTGTCTAGGGTACTTTCTAGCAGTTTATGTGCTCAGGCAACTTGGTTCTTGACATGGTCCTCAGGGTAGGTGGCATTCCTGTTGATGGGTCTCTTGTTTGGTGTCTTCTATCCTGAGAAGCTCATCTGCCTGTGTCTGGTGCCGCATTCAGACAGAACCAACCAAGGAGCAGTCTCTTTCTGAATTCAAGAGAGGATTTCATTTGGGGCACGTGGGGTCGGATTGTGCACTTATGGCATCTTTGAAATCTTTGTACAGAGCATAGTTTGTCTTAGAATTGGAAAGATATTGGGTAAGATCATTTGCAGAGTGGCATTTGCCAAATTTTTGGCTGACGTGATAGAACATTCCTGTTGGCATAAAAGACGTGTGTTGCCTTAGCGGTAGCTGCCTCGGGGGCTAGCAGTTTAGCAGAGGAGACATTGACTCTGCTGCAGGAGGAAAGAAAAGTAACTTTATTCGTGACTGGGACTGTGCTTTGTGACCCAGACCTTCAGAGATTGGACCAGAGCCTTGGCTATATAGTTTGGATATTTAGTTGGCTGGCAAGCTTTGGTTACATTGCCTGAGCTGTGGAGTATTTATACCAAGGTGGTGTCTTTCCTTCTCAGACCTCAGAATACATTATTCAAGCTTACAAGTACGGTGCATTTGAGAAGATCCCAGAATTTATCGCTTTTAGGAACAGGCTGAATAATTCTCTCCACTTTGCACAAGTGCGCACAGAACGGATGCTCTTAGACCTTCTACTTGAAGCAAACATGTAAGTATGTGATGAGAGGCCAAGCGGGATTGAGGGGCCAGGTCAGATGTTCATGGCTGTCAGCAGCAGAGTTCAGGGGAACATGGAGGAGAGGAAGAGAAGAGAAACTGCAAACAGGGAAGGAGACATAGAATCTTGACCCTGTCATGGAGAATGCTGGAGGGCTAAGGCTGTGTCTCAGATGTAGTAGAGCCGCCTGTCCTGGGAACTAACCTTCCTCCCTGTAGTGCTTTCCAGGCCTCTTCCCTGGACAAGCTTCAGGTTCAGGGTATTCTGTATTCTAGTGAACTCCAAAAGGCTTTTGCTTGCTGTCATAACTTGTCTTGGGATCTATGAGTCCATGTTTTCTAAAATAAATCCCTTTTCTCTTTCCAGTAAATGAAAGTCCTGGCTAATGTTTCCATGACTGCATTGTTATAGAAATAAGACCTTAAGGTTGGGGAGATAGCTCAGTAGGTAAAGTGCTTGTTATGTGACTGTAAGGACATGAGTTACGGTCCTCAACACCCAAGTCAAAAGTCAGGTGGTGGTGGCATAAATAAGCCTTTAATCCTAGCACTCCAAAAGCAGGCGGGTCTCTGTAAGTTTTGAGACCAGCTTGGTCTACAGAGCTATTTCCAGGACAGGCTCCAAAGCCAAAGAGAAACCCTGTCTCAAAAAACAAATGAACAAACAAACAAAAAGTCAGGCATGGCCCTGCATGCCTATGAGGCTAGGGGGCTCAGTAATGTCGGAGGGTCCTGGGGCTCACTGGCAGCCAGCCTAGCCAATTGGTGACGTCTCCAGGTTCAGTGAGATGCCTGTCTTCAAAAACAAGGTAGAGAGACAGAACAGGATACGTGATGTAGACCTCTGGCCTCTTCAGGCACACACAGTCACAAAGTCTTGCATGCACAACACATCTGTGCACACATGAGTGTGCGCAAACACAATCTAAGCAAAACCTTCTATATTACAGATCAACTAGCTTGGCAGAAAGTATTAAATCAATGAATCTGAGGCCAGAGGAAGATGATGTTCCATGGGAAGATTTGCGAGACAACAGAGACTTGGATGTTTTCTTTAGCTGGGATCCAAAGGACAGGTAAGACGGGCTCAGCTCTGAAGACTTAGTGTGGATCTAAAACTTTAAAAAAATTTCCCCTTTATTGTTCATTGCTGGAATCAGGGAACCTAGTTTCACAGCATATCCCACTCCAGTGCTGGGCCTGCTAAGGTTAGAGCTATCTTTCCTAATACTATATAGAGGCTTATAATCTCTATTGGGTTCTTAAGGGTTATTGACAGGTGTATGTGTGCACACGTGTTTGTGCGTATATGTGGTGTATGTATACAAGAGTACTTATTTTTAGCAATATAAAAGGTTGTAATGACATTAGTGTTTATTAGCCAGGTGTAGTTGTTCATGCCTGGAGTCAAGAGGCAGCAGAACTCTGAGGGCAGTCCGGGCTACATAGTATAATCTTGATTCAAGGGAAGAAAAGTTAAAAATCCTTAATAGTGTCCTATTAAGCTATGCACAAGCATGAATAGCCCTGGCAATACTAAAACTGAAGGACTAGCCATGTGCTGTCCTCTGCCCGCTCGGCAACTTGTGATCCCAGCACTTGAGAGGTTAGAGGCAGGTGGATCAGGAGCTCAAGGTCATCCTTGAGCATGACCTGTGTTCAAGGCCTGGCTACACAAAGCCCCATTTCAATGAGATAATCAAAAAAAAAAAAAAAAAAAAAAAAAAAAAAAAAAAACCTTCTGAGCAACTTCTCAGCTACCAGAAGAGCTGCATTTGCCATCCTTATCTTATACATTCTAGTGTATTTCAGATTGTGAGCCTATATGCCCAATCTCAAACGGGTCAGAGGGGCCAGCAAGATAGCTCAGTGAGGAAAGGGGCTTGCCACCAACCTAAGTTCAATTCTTACTTAGAACCTTTCTAGTCTAAAAGAGACTCATCCTCTGGGTGTTCTGTGCTAACAAACTTAGTCCCAGTATAGTTCACGTGTTTACATACTTCTTTATAGAGAAGTCTGAAGGGGGCTGTGTGAGTCTGTGAACTGTTGAGTGTTTGGGTAGCTTTGTTCTTTATTACCCACATTGTTTTTCTGGCATTTCAGCTTGTTTGTGTTGTTCGTGTTTTAATCATCAAAGCAAATACTGTGAGTGGTAGGCAGCCATGCCCAGCTTACCTTGTGAAGCAGGCAGGAATCAGATGTTTGGCCTGAGGCAGAAACTATACTGAGGTTTCCTAACGGGTGAAAGGAAACGCTCAAAGCTTTGAAGGCAACAGGCTGAGTAAAATGCACGGTGTGGGGATGTTTTTGTTTAAGGAATGTTTCTGAAGAGCATAAGAAGCTCTCCTTGGAGGAGGAAACCATGTGGTTAAGAATTCGCACCTTAACACTGAGGCTCATCAGTGGACTTCCAAGTCTTACCCACCCTGTGGAGCCAAAGAACTCAGAGAAGACCTCGGAGAACGGGGTGTCCTCCCGGATTGACATTCTTCGTTTGCTCCTCCAACAGCTAGAAGTGGCCGTGGAGATGGGGGAGCGATTTATTGAGAAGGAAATTCAGGTATCACTAAGTACTTCCTGTTGAAGGCGATTGTCCTTTAGTGCATAACAAAGAGCACATTTTGTTTGTGGCACTGTGAGAAAGAGGGATTTGATGTTTTTTAAGCCATTTTGGGGTTTTGCTCTGTCTAAACTCACTAGTTAGGAAAAGCAAAATAGTTTTTTTTGTGGCTTTTTGTTTGTTTTCCTTTTCCTTTTTTGAGATGGGCTCTTGGTATATTGTTCTGGATGGCCTTGAATCTGAAGTCTTCCTGCGTCAGTGTTGGACCAACAGGCACACACCACCGTGGTGTGCTAATACACATGACTTCCTGTGGGAAGTCGGTTACTAGTTTTCTTCTGAGTGGATTTGTACTAAGTTTTATGCAGTAATGATGACTACTGTTTTCATGCTTTGTGTAAATTAAAGATGTTGCTTTCCCTCTTTCCCAGTATCCGTTCCTCGGGCCTGTCCCCACCAGGATGGGCAGGTTCTTCAGTTCGGGTTGCTGTCAGTGCCAGGTCCGCTCCTTTCATCTTGTCAGTGATGTGTATGAGCTTGATACCAGTGGCGTAGGTAAGTGTGCACAGGCATGCGTTCATTGGAGCTTTATCATTAAAAGTTTAGTAAGTGAATGAATACTGAAATGTTCCTAAGATCCTAAACTTCAGAAGAATTGAAAATACCCAAGGGCTAACCCCACATCTAGGCTTCCTTCAGAGCTGACAGATCCGTGCTTGGGACACAGCTGCCAAGTCCTGCTAGAGAGCCTTGTGGCCCAGTGGACAGAGGAACAATCACTGCCCCTCTTTGCTGTGCAGTAATGCTTGTTTGTTTGTTTGGTTTTTTAAGACAGGGTTTCTCTATGTAGCTTTGGAGTCAGATCCCCTGAAACTGAAGTAACAATTTTGAGTCACTATGTGCATTCATGCTAGGAATTAAACCTAGTTCTGCAAGAGCAGCCAGTGCTCTGAACTGTTGAGTTATCTTTCCAGCCCCAACTTTTAATTGTGTGTTTTGGAGTGTACACATGAGGACAGGTGCCAGTGGAAACCAGAGTTACCAGCTCCCTTGGAGTTGGAGTTAGAGGCTGTTGTGAACATCCTGAGATGTGTACTGGGAATTGAATGCAGGTTCTCTGCAAGAGTGGCTCTTAGCCACTGAGCCATCTCTCCAAACCTATGGCATTTTTATTTGTATCTGTGTGTGTGTATATATGTGCCACAGTGTTCATGGAGAGCTCACAGGACAACTTAGAGGAGTCACTTTTCTCTTTCTACCATGTGGGTCCCAGGGATTAAATTCAGGTCTTGAAGCTTGATGACAAATGCCTTCCCAGCCTGTTGATACTTCCAGCATAGCTGTGAGCTGGCCTTGAGCTCAGTCCTGCTGTCTTAGTGACTTGGGTGCTGGGATCAAAGCTATGTGCAGTCATGCCCAGTTTGCTTCTTTATCTTTCTACAAATACGAAGATTGATTGATTGATTGATTGTTTTTCAATTTTAGAGGGTACAGTCGATATACAGGAACGAATAGAAAATAGTCTTACAACTTTACTAGAACTATTAAAAGGTAAGTTCTTGCTGCAGATTCTTGAATTGTTCTTGCGTGTCTGCTCAGTGTTTAAGACTATATAAACATATGTAAGGATTTATAAATAATAAGGGTATTTTTGGGATTTTTGTTTGTTTTGTTTTGTTCTATTCTCTTAACTGCTGAGCCATCTCTCTAGCCCCCTGTTTTGTTCTATTCTAAGACAGGGTCTCTGTATAGCACTGGCTCTCCTGGAACTTGCTCTGTAGACCAGGCTGGCCTCAAACTCTAATTAGTCCTCCTGCCTCTGCCTCCCAAGTGCTGGTAATAAAGGTGTGTACCACAGTCGCCTGGCAACTTGTATCATTTTTAAGACTTATTTTTTGAAGACTACAGAACAATCAATGTTCAGACTTTTTACTGCATATGCATTGGGTCTTTCTGTTTGTTGATGTTATTTTGTTTGTTTGGGGGAGTTTTTTGCTTTTGGTGGCGGTACTCGGGATGGAATCTGAACATTGATTGGGCAAGGCAAACACTGATACTGAGCTACACTCCCATTCCATTGTGGCTTTTATTTTATTTTATTTTATTTTATTTTATTTTATTTTTGAAACAGGATCTCCCTTTGTAGCTCTGGGCAGCTTGGGACTTGGCAGTATGTACCAGGCCCAGTGCTGAGATTTAAAGGCATGGCCACCATGCCCAGCTTGGGTTAAGTTTTTATGTCACTTATTTTAAGATTCTACACCATGTGTCTAACAGTGTGGAAACTTAAGGAGAATAAAACCACAAAACCTCTTCCTCCCTCAGGTGTCTTCAGCACATGTAAAGGCGAACTCTTAGAAGTTAAAGATGGTAACATGAAGACCCAGCCTGCCATCTTGGAGAACCTAGTCTTCTTCGTTGAGGTGTGTCTCCGTCCTGAGGGCACAGGCAGGGCTTTACACCCGCAGCTTATCCTCTCTCACCTGATTGTCACACCACAACAGTCCCACATGGTTTCTAGCTGGCATCATTCCTTATGCGTAGGGACAGCTGAGTGGTGTGCTTCTTTTCTAAGATTGCCCCTAATGAGTTTGCCCTACTTCCTCTGGCTCTAGGTCATTCCTCCAGCTGTTTTTCTAATCACCTAGCATTCGTCATTGGGAAGGAGTCTGGAGGATGATAGAATACAACTTTCTTCCCATCTTGCTTTTTTGAAACAGGGTGTTAGTTACTGTGTAGTCAAGGCTGACCTTGAACCCTGAATCATCCTGCCTCAGCTTCCCAGGTGCTGGAGTCATGGATACCTGCCAGCACACCACCTGGCTGCAGAACTCTAGTTTCTTAGCCAGATTCTTTTTGTTATTGCTCTAGGCCTGTGTGTCTATGTATGTGCCTGCATGAGTTTATGTGTATCTGTGCACAGGTACCTGCACACGGCCAGAGGGCTTGGATGCCCTGGAACTGGAGTTACAGGCAGTTGTGAGCTGCCATGTGGGTTCTGGGCATTGATCCTGGGTCTTCTGCAAGAGCAGCCAGCACTTTGAACTGCAGAGGAACTACAGAGTATTCCCAAAGCCAGTCACCATGTTTTTCAGTTCTCATCACCCTTCTTTTTCCTGTGGCCTGCAATCTCACTGCTCTGGTGACTGGTATTGAGTGTCGAGTGGTCACTGAACACACAGCCCCACACTGTGGACCCCACACTGTGGACCCCACACTGTGGACCAGGGGCTGACCGAATGCTCCAGGGTGGCTTTCCAGTGCAGACTCTCAGTGACTGCTGTGTGGGGAGTCCACACTGTAAGGAACCCTTAGGTCCCTTGCCCCAGGGTGTGGACATAACACTCGGCAAAGGAGCTTAGAGAAGTGAAAGGAATTGACGTCTGCATATGAGAGCCGGAAGGAAGGGTGAGGACGCTGGACTGTTGGAGCGGAGCGACAAACTGCACGAGGGAACATCGTCAGCATGTTATTCTGGCTCACAGTCACAGTTTTCAGTCCTGTGTATTTGTCCCATCACCCTGGTCTCTGGGGAGCTTCTTTGGAACTGCTGTTGTCTGTCTCTAGCTGCTGCTTTGACACCTTGATGGAATCTGTACTGACTATTTACACATTTCCTCTTTCAGACTATCTCTGTTGTCCTTTGGGTATCCAGTTACTGTGAGAGTGTCTTGCGACCATACAAATTAAATATACAGAAAAAGAAAAAGAAGAAAAAAGAGACCAGCATCATCATGGTAATACATGGCTGCCTTGCATTCTCCTTTGCCTGCATGCTGTGTGAGTCTTTAAAGGGCTCTGCAGGCACCCTTTCTCCCACAGGCTTTTCAGAAAAAGCCTGGCCTTGTCTTGACTTCCGATCATCCTAGTAGTTGGGATGACAAGTGTGTGATGGTTTTGAGATACTCTGTCCTGCCTCCTCATCCTAAGAGTTCTTTCCCCAGTCACACCCTCCCAGTAACAGGGACAGACTAATGGTGCCATAAAGGTCCTTCTCTTGGTTACCACTTGCTGACCCTTGGCCAGATTTGCTGTCTTGCCAGTTGACTGTCTGAAAGAACAACTTTGTATCCAAGGTGCTTACACCAAGCCTATGTTCCAAAGGTGTATTCACACGGAAGGGTCCATGGTCTTGGAAGTTTTGAGTACCTGTTTGCCCCAATACACCCTTTTTTTCCTTTCCAAAGCACTGGATTCCTGTGATGTAGCCTTTACTTGCCGTGGCTCCTCTGTCCTTGCGTCCTTATCCATCACATTATTGAAAATTTACCATTTCCTTAGATGCAGGCAGAAATTGAGTTTAGACATGAGCACTGCTGTTGGCCCGGTTACTTGTTTCTTATCGGCTAGCTCTGCCTTAATTATTAACCCATTTCTGCTGATCTATGTATTTCTCTAACCGGGGAGCCGGCGGCATACTGCTTTCTTCAGACTCTCCATCTTGACTCCTCCTTCCTACTTCCTATTTCCTCCTTGTCTCCTAGTCCCTCCTATCTTCCTTTCCTATTGGCCAACAGTGCTTTATTATTAACCAGTATGAGAAACATACAGAATGACATCTCCCATCACACTGCCCTTTTACTTCATTAAATCAGGAAACACTGCGGGTTGTGTCCCATTCTTGAGATTTTAGTGTCTCAGTGGCTAGGAGCGCTTACTGTGTTTCCACAGAGCCTGAATTTGGTTCTTAGCACTCACGTCAACCGGCTCACAACTTCCTTTATCTGTAGCTCTAGGGGATCAGACTATCTTCTGGCCCTCACACACACACACTATCTATCTATCTGTCTGTCTGTCTGTCTGTCTGTCTGTCTGTCTACCTATCTGTCTATCTATCTCATGTATGTACATGCGCAAGGACACACGCCTGAAGTCCCAGGACTCAGAAAGCAGAGGTAGGAGGATCATAGCAAATTTGAGGTATCCTTGGTTTACATAGAGTTCCTGGCAGCCAAAGCTACATAGCAGAGACTGCAAACAAACCCTACATAATAAAGTAAGCCTCATGAATGTGTGCAGTCCCAGAACATAAACAACAGCCTTTTGTCTTTTGAGATGTGTTTCTTGTTTTTTGTTTTGCTGTTTGTTTACTTGTGGCAGGGTCTATATATAGCTCCGGCTTTCCTTGAATTTACTATGTAGACCAGGCTGACCTCAAACTCAGAGATTTGGCTGCCTTTGCCTCCTATGTTTTGGGGTTAAAGGTGTATGCCACCACATCTGGATTGTTGTTTTTCTGATTATTACAGTAACCCATGAAAATGTGACTAGAGATTACCCATAATTGGCCAATGTGTCAGTGATTATACAAGTCAGGGTCATGTGTAGAAGTTTCTGAGCTGAGCATGATCAGATTCCGCAAAGAGAGGTCAGAAAAGACTGCACGGCCAACGTGGGCTATATGAGACTTTTTAAAAACAAATATCTGTAACTTGCCAATTTTGTTTTGTTATATTTAATTAGGATGTTGGCCATCTTTTTTTATGTCAGTAAATATCGATTTATATCCTTGGGTTTTTTTTTTTTATTCCTCCATCATATTAATAAACTGCAGCTTATTTAGGAGCATATAGTTGCTTTATAACATCTTGACTGTAAGTAGATTCTACTATTAGAATGTAGACTTAGATCTGAAGTGAATCGAGTGTGTTCTTATAACCCTCCCTCCAGCACTAGCCACATGACAGAAAAACTGTTCTCGAGTTTGTCTGGCGCTGACCCTTAGAGAACGTTTCTTCATAAGCAGGGTTAGTTCAACTTTCCCAGTTTGTTATTTTCACGAGTGTGTGTGTGTGTGTGTGTGTGTGTGTGTGTGTGTGTGTGGGAGGGAGGGAGGGAGGGTTGTTTTGTATGCATGTGTTTATGTGCACCGTTTGAAAGCCAAATCAGGGATCCCTCTATGAGGGTTGTGAGCCTGTGCTCTTAACTGATGAGTCACCTCTCCAGCTGTCAATTGTTTTATTCCATGAATGGGTTCTTGGGGTGGGGGTGGGGATAATGGTCTTTTTAATGGTTTGTAGTTAGTCTCGTGTGTAGAAAAGCCTTTTGGAACTTAAACAAAATGCTATTTAAACTTTCCTCTGGCACTAATGTTTGTTGTTGAATCAGTCTGGTTTTGAGTTGCACACATAATTAAGACAACCTCGAACTCCTGATCTTTCTTCCTCTACCTCAGTTGTGAGTCACCATGCTTGATTCTTTTTCTCCCTTTTACACTCTAGGGCAGTCAGGGCTACATAGCAAGATCTTATTTAAAAACAAACATGAAAAAATAAGACAAAAAAATCAGAATATTATGTTTCTATCTTCTATTAATATTACTGGAAATCTCAGATGTAAAGAAGGATAAAATGTTCTGCTTTGGTTTTACATGCATATGCATGTGTGACACCTGTACATTATGCAAGTTCACATAGGCACATGTAAGCAAGAGGTGGATATTGAGGTCTCATTACTGCTTTCTCTCCTCCACCTTACGTACTGAGGTAGGGTCTCTTACTATAACCTAGAGCATACCAGTTTGACCAGTGTAGATAGCCAGTTTGCTGTTGGGATCGCCTTTCTCTGCCTCCTGAGTGCTAGGATTACAGCCAGCATTTATGTTGTTGCTGGGTCCAACACTTGTAAGTTTTTTTTTTACCCATTGTGCTACCTTCCCAGTCCTGAAAATAGTCGCTCTCCATCCTGTACTGTTTTTGCATATTTCCAGCACTCGAGTCATAAACAACTAACACACTTTTCTATTAGTTCTTCTCCAGCTCATACTGGGAAGTGGAAATAAAAATTCATTTAAAAAAGAAAAAAAAAAAAGTATAAACCCTGGATACAGTTTGCTGCCTAGGTAATCTCCAGTATCTTCTTTCCCATCCAAAGGCTGTCTGAACCATCAGTTGGCAGCAAACTGGTTACTCCAGGCTATCTTACTGTCCCAGAGTGTCCATCCCTATGGTCCCAGTACCAAACTGGGCTGTGGGAAGTTATCATAACTCGTACTGGAAACAGGAGATGCTCACAAGGCCTTTTAACACTTTTTAATCTTCTTTACCCCAGCCTCCAGTCTTCACCAGTTTCCAAGACTATGTTACTGGACTTCAGACTTTAATTTCCAACGTTGTGGATCATATTAAAGGACTTGAAACAAATCTAATTGCACTTAAACTTGAGGAACTCACATTAGAAGACACATGTATCTCTCCGGTAAGAGATGCTAGGGGAGCAACATGCCCTCTGCACATGTTGAAACCTTATCAGGAAGACTAGTTAATGTTCAGTTCATCAGAACAACGGATGCTATGGACGTCGGTTTTTATTGTGGTGGTGGTTTTTAAAATTACATTGTTTTGAGATTGCATTGAGGTGATGGGTTTTTCTTCCTCTTCCATGCCCCAACCCAATTTTCTGTGGCTGTTCCTTTCCTAAGAGGACTAAAGCCAAGGGCTGGGGATATGACTCAGTTGGTAGAGAGCACCTGCCTAACATTCAGGGAAGCTGGGCATGGTGGCACATACCTGTTCTCGGCACTCAGGACTCTAAAGCAGGAGGTTCACTACAAGTTGAGTCAAGTCTGGTCTACACAGCATCATAGGCCAGGGAGGGCTAAGACTCTGGGGGTCGGGGGTGGTGTGTCTCATAAAATCCTAGAATCCTTCACATTGAAATGAAATTTGTAAAGTCTCATGGAGACATCTGAAGATGAGCAGGGAGATAGGAGCTGTGGGATTGCATGGTATGGCAGTGGGCTGCTGGTCCGCCTGCCTCCAAATACGGAATGCTAGTTCTGGGTCAGTGCTGTGGAGTCCCCGTTACATTTTCCTCTTGTAGCTTAGCCTGGCCGCAGATAGTGATGACAGTCTAGACACTGCCCCCACGGTACAGTACATTATCCTCACGGGGAGGAGAACACCTGGCCCGTTAGGGCCTGTTTTAACTAGTGAAAGTCTGCGGGGTCCACTGGCCCAGTCTGCATGGGCACTGGCATGTGTGTGTCTGGTTTTCCCTTTGCAGAGCACAGCCTTCCCAGTATCAGAGATCATAGGGGTGAAATGCCATGCTTGGAACCATCCTCATCTTTTAGTGGTTCTGTTGTTTAAAGTTTTAAAATAAGTATTTAATGTTTATGTATTTTGCCTGCACATTCATCCATGGACCACATGTATACCTGGAGCCTGAGTCATTTTGTATCCTCTGGAACTGGAGTTACAGGTGGCTGTGAGCCACCATGACAGTGCTGGGAACTGAACCTGTGTCCTCTGAAGAGTAGCCAGTGCTCTTAACTGCAGACTCATCTCTCCAGCCCTGTTTTATCTTTAAATCCCTCAATTCCATTTCCTTTAAGTACATCTCTTTTGTTTCTAGTCTTTTCCTCCCAAACTTGGTAGCTTTTCTTCTTTGTCCTTTTTGCTCCATATTCGTTACCCAACTAACGAGCTGTAGCTGACATCGTCCTTTGTATTTATATTCATGACAGTGTATAGTATGGTATTATTTCATAGTTTAAGTAAGTGAAGATACTATTCTCTGCAACTTGGGCTTCCTTTATTCATTCACAGCTATACAGATTTATTCAGACTCACATGTACAGTCAGCCTTGTGCTTTGATTAGCTGTTGTATCAATGTAGGGATGAATCATAGCCATTGAGCATTATAGGCTTTGGGAGGTTGTTTGGTATTGATGGTGGAACTGAAGGCTTTATATTCATCACAGAGTAGTTTTGATGTTGGTGGAATGTGTGGATGTAGACCCACACAGGCTGTAGAGCCTGTGGCTAAGAACAGCTATAGTTGCTTTTTACTTGTATTGCTGTATAAAATGTATTCGAAGCTGTGTGTGTTGATACACCATTAGTCTCAGCACTTGGGAGTTAGAGTCAGGTAGATGGATCTCAGTGAGTCTCAAAAACCAAAAAGAAAACATTTGTATGCATTGTCCTTCACGCAGTTCCATTTCTAAGGCCGAATGCATGTGACAACGGAGCACTGTTGGTCAGGAGGTGCATATCTGCTTTTTGTGGGCTACAGGCTTCCCAGCACTGCCAACCTCATGTCGCCCCATCCTACTCCTTGGCCCTTTGCTTGAACATAGCCACTCTTTGGTACTCCCTGCTGCAGCAAATTTTCATTTCTTGAATCTGTGGACTGTCACAGGGAGGGATTCCTGAGGATGTTGGGGAGATGAGATGGGCACAATGGATGGGATAGGGAAGGACTCGCCAGTATCCTAATAAGAAAAGAGAAGTTGATAAGGTTGGTGCTGTTCTAAGAGTCTGTGATATCAAATTAGTGATACAGTTCTACTTCATCTGAACACAGTCAGAAGTCTTAGATTTGATGCCTTGCCCAGCTTGTCATAAAATAGTTAACAGTGCTGTGTCTGAGCTATGCAGAATCTCCTACATTGCTTTGCATGGGCACACACCTCTCATACCAGCCTGGGTCACATGTCCACATGATGAGTCACATAATGCTTGAAAAGGCTTTTGCTTATATTTTGTGAGATGAAAATGCCTGGTGTTCTGGGTGAGGTTACTATAAATCAATTGAATGGTTTTCCAGCAAGATGACTTAATGTTGTTTCTGTTGTAGGAAGAAAGAAAATTTTCAAAGACTGTGCAGGGGAAAGTGCAGAGCAGTTACCTGCACTCACTTCTGGAAATTGGGGAGCTGCTCAGAAAAAGACTTGAGACCACAAAGAAACTAAAAATTTAAGAAAGTATGAACCACAGGCACTGAAGATGCTCTAGCAGAAGACGACACACCACCTTCCCTGGCAGCAGCAACATCTGCTGCTGGCCATCGTTTTCATCCAGAACTTCCTCACAAATGCATGAAGGACTTTGATCGTGAATTAATTTTTGAGGTATTAAATATATACAACTGATTATAAATTATTGTATATAAACCAGAAGCAGGACCCTCATCTGGGTTTACCACTCTTTATATCTGTTCATACACACAGGACAGCAACGAGAGCCCCACTTCTCTCCCATCACCAGAAATGTCTGGGGTGGGCTTTCTATACAAGCAGCAATAGAAATAAGTACAGAGCATCAATCTCAAAGCAGGTGATTGCTCTCTGTCATGCAGTGGGAGTTTGGGTTTGGTCCTGAGTCACAGGAGGTAAAAAGCAAGATGCGGGAGCAGACACGGGAACAGGGCCCTTTCTGAGGTGGCAGAATCCTTGTGAGGCTCCCACAGAACTAGGGTGGGTCCTCAGAGGGTCAGGTGAGATGTGGCATGAGCACATGCCACTTCAGGGCACCACACATGACCATAGGTGCTCAGTCTTGGCTTCATAGTCCTGACAGCCAAGACATCACTAGCCCCGCCCCTGGGAGAGCTAGCTCAACCTCAGGTCAGCGAGGTAGACTCTTGAGTACATCCCGGGATCCTCACACAGCTGAGACCTCTCTGCTGGTCCTCCAGGAAAGGTGGGAAGAGCTGTAAGAGAGGTGTGCATGACTTGTGCAGGCCAGTTTGATACTTGTTTCCTTGGTTTTGAGTCACATTCTGCAGCTGATCCATGGGTCACCCAGATACACATAGGCATAAGTATGCTTGGAAACAAAATTTACCATTCTAATGTTTTACGTGGGGAGTTTGAGACAGAAGGGATTGTATATTGTGGATTTAACCTAGGTTTTAAGTTTTAGGTTAACAAAAGATATATTTTATAATGGGCCTGATGTCAGTTTACTTTGTTGACACTGGGAATTGTACCAGGATGTATTTCCTTTGTTCATCTGGAGGTTGGAGGTCTGGTCCCCAAGCCCACAGCTTGAGAGTCTGGTGTAAGAGAGAAGATGAAAACTACTCTTGAACATGTTGTGGCAAGCTCTTACAGCTCCTTTGGTAACTGTTGGTGTTTGAATCCCATACTGTTCTGGTTCTCTGTCGCCTGACTACTACAAGTCAGTAACTATAATTTGTAGAAATGAATTTGCTGAGTATCAGTCTTTCCCACATACTGCTCCAGCAAAAGGTGACACCAGCTAAGGAGAGCTGGCGAATCTTGGGTGTAAGGTTTGCATTTCATCTTTTATCTTGACATTGTTAGATTCACAAATGGGCATAGTGGTTAGTAACAGTTTAGACGTCTAAGGAAATCTGTAGAAACCACTTCCTTGTAAGATGTACTAGAAAGCCTAGACCACGTTAATTACACACATTTTTTAAAACTTAGTTGCAATAGTATCACATGCTCTATCCCAAAAGGAAAGGGCCTTTTGAATAAGATGGATTGAAGACTATTAATTCTGACTTGCCTTGAACATCAACATGTGGTCATTTTCTATAGTTATGGGCCTGTGTCCCATGGAACTGGGTGAGCTTTTGCAAGCACCATAGCTCTTGGAATAATGTTTCTTGGGATAGTCAAACTGTACTGTATGTGTGTAGACATAGATGCTCTTTCAAACAGCACTGTCAGCTGGCTATGACCCTAGGCTGGCTCTGGCCCTCGGCGCATAGCTCCTCCCTCTAGTGATCTATCCAGTCAGTTTCTTGCCCTGGACACCTGGGATCTCCACTGGTTTTACTGACGAATAATGTCGTTGGAGTTATGCTTCCTTTGTTACTTGCTGATTTTCCTACTAAATTATGAAATGACCAATATCTTTTATCAGTCTGTTCTTTTGGAAAGCTGTCATGCACTATAAATTGTGTACAGTTAAAATACATACATATATATGTGTATAATATATATGTATATTATATATATATGTATGTATGTATATTCTTACTGAGTAGAAAGCACCCTCTCCCATGGTTGTATGTCTTAGTATCTGAGAAGAATGCTCAGTGACCCATTGCTGCTGCTGTTGCTGCTGTTCTGGTTTATATGGGTTTTGTCCTGTTTTGTTTTTGTGTGGTAAATTGATATTTAAAAGACAAAAAGAAAGAAAAAAAAAAACCCACAACTACTGTTTACAGACTGAAAAATCACTGCTTTTTATACTACTGAGATCCTAAGTCAAGACTTTCCAAAGCAGGCATTGGGTTCAAGTTTCTTCCGGCGTGGATGGAGAGTCCTCTGTAGTGTCTCCACATACTGGAGAGTGTGCACAGACCTAGGTGCGCTGCCATTAATTTTGTATATTTTCATAATTTTAATTGTTCAAAATTGCATTATATTTTGCAGTCATCACCTTCAATCTGTATTTGTCTTTCATTTCAAATTTTTCAATATAAAAAGGGGTTAAATTTATCTGTAGGCTTGTTGAAACTCTTCCTATCTTTTGATGAGATTTATTGGTATGGGAAATCCACTCTTGAGAATTAAGTCAAAGGCAGCAAATTGGCTTTAATTGGGTAGGTTAATTTCCTTAAGTGTTTTTGTTTTTAGCTGGCACTTTTGCCTGGTTCAGTTTTGTTCAGTCTTAAAAGTTAGAGCTTCCTAAGCAGTGTACATCATCTCGATTCTATACTGACTGTTATCCCTCCCATTGGGCTAGCCCTGTCTGGAGGCAGCAGGGTCAGGTTAAGACCATGTGCAGCTACAAGACACTGTCTTAAAAACAAGTGAAAATAAACAAGACCAAAAGACTAAAGTCAAAACTTTGTGGCTTAACAATACTGCCTTCCACACCCATTTATTAGCTAACATGTGCGTCTCAAGCAGCTGTGCTGTTAGTCACTGAGACCCTGTCCTAGTTGGAGGCTGTGTGGTGTAGAAAATCCCATTCCAGGTGATGGATGGAAGTTTTTTCAGTGTGTCTGGAGACCTGAGTCAGTGCAAAGGCTCCACCTAGGATAGTGAACAGAAAGCTTCAGGCTGTCTGGTAACAGCACCTATTCAAGGGCATACTAACCATTTTGTGGAAGCAGGAGCTGTTTTCCTGATTCCTTTTTGTCCTGATAGCAAATGCCCTTAGCAGGCTTTGCCTGCTTCTTCAGGGAGGAATTAATTTCATCTGAATTATTTTTCCCTTTAACAAAGAGTGCTTGCCTGAACCTCACCGCTGTTCTTAACATAATTCAACTTTGCAGAGACTGCATGGGGCCAGCCTTACAGTGGTGAGTACAGCTAGTCACATGATCAGACACATTATTTGGGGTTTCTCATTGCAGTTTATACATAAGGGGCACAACTCTGTGCAACTTCTAGCTTCTGTGAATGCCAGGAACAAGCTTGGTCCCACATCAGTTACAATCTAGATTGTTTCTTTGTGCAACTCTGCTTCCCCATACACCCGAGACTAGCTAGGCTTGGCCTTGTCTTGCTTCACTCCGCTCCAGTTAATGACATTCATTATGAAGAAATGCTCCTTAATTAAAAAGGTCCTTTTGGCACTATCTGAGAAAATTTGCAGGTTCTTTAGAATAAAAGTGCAATGTTGCATCCAGTGTTTACTGCTTCAGGTTATTGAATTCTCTTAGACAGTATGTAGCTGTGTGACCCTAACAAGCTAGACTCTAGGCAGCCATTATTAGAGCTTGCCTACTGGCCTGGGCCAGTGTTGCTGTAAGGAATCATCTATCTGACTGCAGTATGAGGAACATTGTTTTTCCTGTGGCAGATGTAAATCTTTTAAGCAGATTCAACTTGAAATAGAAATTTAGTCCCATTCCCAAGGTCCTGAGGTTAGATTATAGCAGCCAGCCTGAGCCTGTCCTGGGAGGGCCCAGGGTAGGCTGCCACTGTCCTGCTTCTGCCATAAAGGATGAAGAGGCTGGGTGTTCTGCTTTCTATAAAACAACGAATGCTCTGTCCTACATTGGAGCATAAACTAGAGCAGCTAAGATAAGTCTGTGTTTCAGGAGCCAAGAAAGGATTTTGATTAAAATTAAAAATGAAAATACTAGTGGCTAGAGAGATGGCTTGTTCAGCTTCAGCAGTTAAGAGCCCCTGAGGAACTGAGTTTGGTTACCAGAGCCTATAAAGTGGCTCTCCACCATCTACCACTTCAGTTGCAGAGAACTCCACACCTACTTCTGGCCTCTGTGGCATTGATTGCATGCCCATACACATAGATGCCCGCAGGCAAGCACTTAGACATGGGAAATTAGAAAAATCACTGAAAATGAAAATACTAGGTCCTCTGGATCTCAAATTTGTTCCTGAGATGTAAAACCTGCACTGAGTAATAACAACCTCTGACAGCTGTGTGTAGAGGAGCAGCAGTTTGGGGCACTTTACAACAGGTGGGGTGGAGTCACTTTGTTTATTAAAAGTTGGTTTTGCTTGGGAGTGGCGGTGCACTCAGGAGGCAGAGGCAGGTGGATCTCTGTGAGTTCAAGGCCAGTCTTCCAAGACACACAAAGAAACCCAGACTGAAAAGCCAAGGGAGAAAAAGTTGGCATTGACTCTGTAACTTAGAGCAAAGTGACACTGTTGGAAAGTAATTTAAAACTTAAATCTTTTTTTTTTTTTTTTTTTTTTTTTTTTGAGATAGGCTCTCATGTACCCCATGTTGGCCCTAAAATTCATTATGTAGCTAAAGCCGGGCTTGGACTGCCAGTCTTTCCCCATGCCTTTACTTGCCCAGTGCTCAGATTATAGATGTGTGCCACCACATCTAGCTTTGCTATATAAATTCTAAACAAAGTACATTAGTACCACTAAGAATTTGCTCTGGAGAGAGATGAGGTCCAAGGGTAGACAGCACCCTGTACCTCACCATATGTGATTGTCCAGAGGGTAGTGTCTTCTTCAGGGAAGAGTCCCCTGGTAGAAAGGAATTCACACAGCTGAGACTCAAAACAGTACTCAAGTTATAGGCCAAAAGTAAATCTGAAAGAAAGCCACCTAACCAAAACAGACTCTTTTATTTGTTCAGAATGAACTGCTCCGTAGCACCGCTTCCTCTGCGGGGGCATCTCACCAGCCTTGACTGAGCACACAAGTCCACACACTGGCTCAGGATGTCCTATGTATGGTCTCAGCAGCATGAATACCCAGGAGTACTTAGGGCTCCATTTCTGGCTCAGGACTGCTTCGCTCCACCACCCCTTGTACCCCACAGGGGCCTCAACAGCCAGCAGGTGACTGTCCCCTTCCCACCCCAGCAAACGCCGTCACAGCTCCTCCTTCTCAGCCCCCTTCTTCCGGAAGGCAGTCAGGATGTTTAAGCTCTTCTGCAATTCTTCCTTCTTGCTGTCACTCATCTTGTTCTCGATCAGCTTGCCGATCCGTGTCATTTCTGAGGCCGGGAAGTCTTCACCTTGGTCCAAGATCTTCCCCATGATCTTGAGGTACTGGCTGGCCCACTTCTTCTCTGTCTCCTTCACACCTGAGAGGCCGTCCTGCCCCTGTTTCAGGATGGCCTGGCGGGCCTCTATGCTGGAGGCCTTGATGAACTCACCTGCCAGGGTGTCATAGGCAGGCAGGCAGCCAGGCATGCCAAGGTAGACCCCATGCCCCTTCAGCCAGCGCTGGATGGCTCCAACCTTAACTGCCCCACTGTATGGGATAGGGTTCTCAATGTCCCCATCCCGGAAGAGGTAGAAGACTGGGTAGTTCTCTTTGTCCAGCTTGTATTTTTCACTCAGCTCCATGTTCAGCTTGTCTCCGTAGTCTGCCAACAGAAACCAGACATGAGGAAAAACTAGCAGAACACTGTTATGGGGCCTGCTGAGCAGAGGGAAAAACAGAAAGGTTGGCTATGTAGTTTAAAGTTTTACCAGAGACCTGTGTCTGAATTTTTTTCTTGGCATACCTTAGCTGTGTGACTTTACTGTGTCATTCAATGGCTATTATCTTTTGGGATTTTGTTTTAGGGAAAACAATTGATCTTCTGACTATTGTATGCATCATGTGGGTGTGAGGGCCTATTTGCAGTTCAAGGTGTCAAGCTCTGATACTGTAAGGAGCTTGTATTCTACAGGACAGAGAGACACTACACAGGGTACGGTAAATACTTAACGCTGTAACAAATAGGGTGATGACACAGTTCATGGGGTGAGGAAGCTCATGTGATCCAGGCTATGAACACAGCAGTGGGGTCTGACTTCAGAGGAGTCAATCACATGAAGATGTGCAGTAGTGTGGGGTCTGGACAGGAACTGAGCTTGGAGGTCATGAGCCACATACAGCCACTTTGGCTGTAGCATTACAGAAAAGGGGCACATTTAGTCAACACTGACTGCACACAGGAGACAAAGGATGAATGTCGGCCCCACTGCAGGTATTATTCAAGCTCTGAAATGACTGGAAAATAACTACTCTGAAGAAGTATGCCAGCCAGCTCTACTGCCACCAGACGGCAGAAAATTCCCAGAGTCCTCCTGCTGTGTGGGTCTTCCAGCTAAGGTGATGATGCAGCATTCAAGACAGGACTCAAATTTAGTGGCTACAGATCTCTGGGCTATAACCACTAGAAGCTGTGACCATGGCTATAGGACCTGCCCATCAGTTAGTGCTGGCACCAGCTCATTTCAGCTAAATGCCAGGAGCCAACACTGGCTGAGACTCAATTCTCAGGGGAGTCAGACAGGTGAAGGTTTGGGAGAGGAAGAATCCTTCAGGCAGCTATATGATGGTTCTACACACAGCTCCTGCTCTGCCTAAGCTTGCTACAGGCACTGGGTCCTAACAGATCACACAACCGATTTCTCCAAAGAAATGGCTTGGGGGTATTCTCCCTCCCAGCAGGGAAATGAGCCCTAGCTCCCTTCCCTCCCAGGCCCCTCTCCAGGCATCCTGGACATGTTCATACCTGAGATTCCCACTTCTGCCACCAAGAGATCATCACTGGAGGCCGAGTTTTCAGCCAGGCGCTTGAACTCATCCTGTTTTTCACCGTAGGGGTACTGGGCGTCAAACTTCACCAAGACGAACTTGCTTTTGGGGATGACCTGAGGGCACATAGAGCTGAGCAAGTCGGGTGTTGAGGGAGGGACCTTTAGGACTAAATCCCCTCCCTAAGGGACGGACCCCTGTTTAAAAAACAATGGAAGTGGACCTATACAAGAGACAAACTGCCCCGTGCTATCATTCACCGATTCCTCTAAAGCTTAGGACGACATGCTTCCTTTGCTGGGTATATGTGTACTCTCAAAGACAGAGTAGTGGATAAAAAAAAAAAAACTGAGATCTTACCCTCGAGTGTCTTTCAACAATGCCAAGAAGACTTTATGCACTGCTATCCTCTGCCATCTCAGGGATCTTTCTCAGTAAACCCCAAGCACTCAGAGTGCTTTGGCCATAGAGGCCAAAGTTTGAGCTGAACTGAACAATTTCAGGTCATGTAGAAGGCTGGTGAGAGGCCAGACAGGGTTTCTCTGTTTAGACCTGGCTGTCCTAGAACTCAGTCTGCAGACCAGCTCTCTAGACCAAGGTGGCCCCGACCTCTATGTAGCCAGGCTGGCTCATGCTGATCTTACTGTCTCACTTTTTCCCAAGTGCCAAGGATACATGGATGCATCACCACAGCCTGGCTTAGAACTTTGGACATTTTCCCCCAAGTAAACCACACTTCGGCTGATAGACTCTTGGCTTGTTCCTTCCTTCTAGTTATTGTAGACAGCACTGCCATAAAAGGTTCTCATACATGTTTTGCCTGAGCACATACACCCCATTCCTCTGGCTTACTGGGAACAGAGCTTCAGGGGGTCATAATGGTGAGTACATTTAACTTAGAGTCCCAGACTTCTTTCGATGCACACATTTTATCCGACTAGCTTTGGTAAGAAATACCACCTTCAAATTAAAAAAAACACAACAAAACAAAAAAACATTATTTTAAATAATGTATGTGTGGCTATGTGCATCTGAGTACAGGTACCAGAAGAGGGCATCTGATCCCCCTAGAGTGCCAGGCTGTACGCTGCCTGACATGGTGCAAGTGCAGATCACTAAACCATCTCTCCAGCCTCCTCCAACCTTTCAGGCTCGTAGTCCAGCAGTCCCAAACTCATATTTTTATCACAGGCCATCACTGGATGTAAAGAGGCCTTATTATTTTTAACATTCATTTGTCTTTACATCTTTAATGACATTAACACTGCCTAAGGACCAAAACAAACAAAAAGCCGGGCTATGGTGGCATATGCAGAGAAACCCTGTCTTGAAAAACAAAACAACATCCAACCAAACACTGCCTAGGGACATGAAGGACAGAAGCCACTAGAACAGGTAGTGACACTGAAAAGTCAGAGCTCTAAGAAAGAGCCCAGCAGCAGGGAAAACTGAAAATATAAATCGAATCATATCCCTGTGGCTCAGCTGGCCTTGTTTCTGCTCAGCACTAGTTCCAACCTGCTACCTAGAAGCCTCTTCCTGGGTTCTCTTCTGTCTGCCTCTGCCATTCAAGGCTCAGTTCAAATGTCTCCTTATAGCAGAGAGAAGGATCCAGTCACCTATCACTCCGCTTCCTTAACCCTCTCTCTCATCTTACTCTGAAACCTCGTTTTATTGGCTTATTTTCTGTCCTTTCCAATGGATGTGCATTTCTAAGGATAAGGACCTTGTTCTGAGAAATGTTCTGAATAGAGTTCTAGCAGTCTTGAGGAGCTGATGCTGCATGATTGTGAGTCAAGATGGGTAGAAGCAGAATGATGTTTCAAAAGCACAACACAATGGTAGGGGGCCTACATTTGTGATAGAGTACCAGTAATCATAGGGTGGCCAGACACTGGAGTAGAAAGGAGAGTTTAGTGGACAGGATGCAGTGGTGTTGTTGTATTTTGATTTTGTGTGTGTGTGTGTGTGTGTGTGTGTGTGTGTGTGTGTGTTACTGTGTGGGTGCCATAATATCAACAGAGGTCAGAGGACTACTGTGAGAGTCAATTCTCTCCTTTCGCCATATGGGGCCAGAGGACTGAATCCCGGTGGTTAGGCTTGGGGGAAGTGCCTTCCTGCTGTACCATCTCATGGGCCCGTCACTGGCATTTTTAAAACAAGGTCTTGTTAAGTTGCCTAGACTGGCCTTGAACTCATGACCTTTCTGCCTCTGTCTGCCTCACCAGTTGTGTGTGTGTGATACACCACCATCTGGCTGAAGTTATCTACTTGTTTGCCAAATAAGAAGCTGTTAGGAGTCATCATGCACTAGACATCACTGTAAACGAACACAGCAGTGAACAACATAGGGGCTCTCATCTCAGGAAGCCTTCTAGTGACAGTCACAAATAACAGAAAATTTTCTTCTGAGTTGGAAATCGCCTGAAAGGTAAAGCATCTAACAAGATTCCTGGCAAAACACCAGGAACTGCCCCTTATTTCAGAGGAGTGCCATTTGGAAGAGACTAGAGGAGACACCTGCTTATTCACTCGCACAGCATACCAGATCAACTGTGGTATTAGATGCTCAATAAACAGTCTGGTGTGCTGTGTGGAGAGCCAGATAGGTCAGGTACTTCATTAGCATGTAATAATCATTCTGCTATGGGAGGATTGAAACCGACAAGCTTGGTTTTCTTTTTTTCCTCCTCCAGACAGGGCGTGGGTTTCTGTGTGTGGCTCTGGAGCCTGTCCTGGCACTCACTCACTCGAACTCACCACCTGCCTCTGCTGGGATGAAAGGTGTCAGCCACCACCTCCCCGATTAAAAATGCTGAGTTAAAAAAAAAATAGTGACAGAGCAACAGGACTGAATTTAAGCCTGGGGGGGGGGCTGAGAAAATAAGGACAGGACCTGGGGGGTAATATTTAACCTAAGACAGAACAATGCCAAGTAACACTTCAAAGATGGGCAAAGAATGTTCCAGTCACAAGGGGAACAGTGCAGATGTACTAACAGCTGTGAGCTAGCAACAGTCATTAGGCTTCTGCTGGCTGGAGCAGATGGCTAGCACTAAAGTGAGAGGTACCAAGGGGCATTCCCTATAGGGCCTGATAATAGAGTAGAATCTCAAGATGCAGGCAGGAGCCAGTGGGGTTCCAGTGGCAAGAGCCTAAAGCAGGGGGCCAGTGGGTAAAGATGAGGAAGCACCTACTGATTAAACTTATGATGCTAAATGTCCCTTTCACTTGGACTGCTTGCTGTATTACTTGATCACTAGATAGAGTTGAGTGAGCCATTAATAATATGGCCGGCTTCTTTTTTTAAATTCCTAAGAACAACGTTGAATGGGTTACGGTTACACGAGCACGGTCCCTTCCGAACAGCAACCCTTTCCAAAACAGACATGGCCAACCACTCGAGACAGGCGCATTTAGAGTTCCCTTCTGCTTTTCAGTTCCTCACTGTTAAGAACAAAATGAGAAAATGAACTACTACTCTCCACACTTAGCTCGCCCAATAGAGGGAGAAGCTGCTGGTGGCTGGAGGCAGATGATGCATGAGGAACAGGCTGGGGCCAGAGGCCACTTTAATTAGCCTCCAACATTTCCACCATCCATTTACCCAGGCCTGGGTGCCAAATATTGAAAAAAGGAGCTGGGGGTAGTGGCGCTGCTTCTGTGCTTGACCTGGTTTTGTTCATTTCATTCTCGGCCCCAAGATGTTCTCTACAGGTGGCAGAACTGCACCTTTTTAACCCTTGCACTTTTTGTGGGTCCGCGTGCTATCTGAACGTGGTTTGCACACTGCCAAGCAGGCTACAGGCCGTCCTCAGGGAAGAGGGGGAGCAGACTTGCTGAGTTCTCTTCACCACCCCCACCCCATCAGGGAGCCGAGGAGCGTCGACCTCGCCCCGCCCTTCGGTCTTCCACTTGGGACTCGTGGATTGGATCTCTCCCGGCATTGTCTTTTCCCTATAGGTAAAGGGAAGGGACACTTAGTTCCCTTGGCTGCATCTTGGTAGCTCTTTCATAAAAGAAGGTAGAGAGTACCCAGGCTGCAAAGCAAAGGCAGGGGTGCCGGTCGGGTGGTCAGCGTGCTCCCCTGCTCTGCCAACAGTGGGCCTATAGGAGGGTGGGATGTCTAGGGGTGGTCCCTAAGGACTGCCTGCTGCCACCCATCGGGGCCCAACGTCCTCACGGGCGCGCGCTCCCACGGGCGTCTGGTTGCACCTGCGCACGCGCCCCCCCCCCCCAGTCCTCATTACCTTATAGAAAGTGATTGTGTCCAAGGGAAGGGCGCCCTTCGTGTGCAGGCCGCTGCCGCCATGCGGAGCAGAGAGGAGCAGCAGGCCCAGGAGAATAGACAGCACTGGGGAGAGGGAAACGGCGCCAGGGACCACGGCAGCCATCACAGCAGATTGAGGGAGATGGGAAACCTGCCGGCCGGCCGTGAGCTCCGAGTGGGCTCTCACGTCACTTGGAGGGCGGTCCTGCAAGCGCGCATGCGCTCACGTGGTCACTCCAGGAGGCTCAGGCTCCTCTGGGGTGGCAGAGGTGGCCAGCTCCAGGGGCGGGGCGACGGGAGGCAGCGGCGCATGCGTAGTGGGAGAAGCTCGGGGCGGGGGCGCGGCCGCGTGATCGGTGAGCGGGTGACGTGAGACTGTCGCGCACGCGCCCTCGGTCGCCAGTCGCCTAGGCTGCATCCCGCCGCGTTCTCGCGCGAGGAGAGAGAGGCGCGAAGCTAAGCTTCAGCAATTCCCGTGCGGCCTTCCTACGAGGCGCGCGTCCCTTCCTCCCCGGCGCTGGGCCCTCATGCTGCCTCGGTTCCCTCGGTTAGTCAGCCGCCTGGCACTGGTAGCCGTCGCTCTGCCCTTGTAGGCCGCAGGGCCCTCAGGCTGCAGCGCTGGGGTACGTAGGCACAGCCCTCCCCTGGTATGCTAACATGCCTGTAACCTCAGCACACCAACGCAGGAGGGTAGCAAGGCCGGGCTGGGATGTGTAGCGAGAAAACAAGCATCCTTTCTGAGTGAGAGAGTTTGAGGCCAGCCGGGTCCCACATAGTGTGTTCCAGGCCTGTCATGACTGCATACATGCCCCTCCACCCCCATATAAGTCCCATCCTCGGCATCCAAGGAAAAAGCTGGATCTAGGCCTGCTGTGTTGGCACACATCTTTAATCACAGCACTCCTGAGGCCAAGGCTGGTGAGCCGGAGTTCAAGGCTACGTGGTTGGTGAGTTCTAGGCCACCCAGGGTAAACCTAGGGAGATCCAGTGTCAAAAAAAGAAAGAAAGAGAAAAATGCATGTGGCACACTTAGCAGCACTGGGTAGGCAGAGATAGTAAGCTCCCCAAATCGAGCCTAATTGAATTGGTGAGTTCCAGGTTTTAGAGAGGGTTTCAAAAAAGATGGGTAATCATTGAGGAAGATAGGTTGGCCTCTACATGTGTCTTCATGCACATTCTCACACACACACACACACACACACACACACACACACACACACACACACCTGGAAATTCAATTCTGCAAGTACTTTAGTATGGGGAATGATCCATCTTACAAGCCCCCTACCCCTTTTTTGAAGCAGGGTCTGTATGTAGCCTGGGCTGGCCACCAATTTAGTCTTCCCACCTTGGCCTCCCAAGTACTGGGTGCAACTTCACATCTAGCTAGCGTAATAAATCTTTACAATTTATTGCTTGGCATCCATGTTGACCATAAATTGTACTTCATGTTAGAAATAGAGTTCAGCAGTCACTTCTAAAAAGGTTTATTAGTTTTTATTTTTATGCACATAAATGTGTTGTCTGTCTGTCTGTCTGTGCCTGTTGCCAGAGTAGACCAGAAGGGGTGTTGGATGTGAAACTACCATTAGGATTTTCGTTTGTTTGTTTGTTTGTTTGTTTCTTCGAGACAGGGTTTCTCTGTGTAGCTTTGGAGCCTTTCCTGGAACTCACTCTGTAGATCAGGGTGGCCTCGAACTCACAGACATCTGCCTGCTTCTGCCTCCCAAGTGCTGGGATTAAAGGCATTTGCTACCACCACCTGACCAGTTAGCATGGTTTTAAGCCTCCATGTGGGTCCTGGAAATTAAACCCTAGTCCTCTAAAAGAGCAGCTCAAAAGAGAGCTCTTAACTACTAAACCAGCTCTGAAGCCACTACTTCAGTAGTCTGGCTCCCTGCCCCCTTCTTGATCTCTTTTTGTGTGCATGGTGTCTGGTCTGTGTATATGTTAGTGTATTACGTGTGTGCCAATGAGGCCAGAAGAGCCTGTCAGATCCCCTGGGGCTAGAGTTACAGACAGTTCTGAGCTGCTGTGTGGGTGCTGTTAATAGAACCCAGGTCCTCTGGAAGAGCAGCCAGTGTTCTTAACCTCAAACCATCTTTCCAGCCCCTTGAGTGCTTTCTTAACAGTTTGTAGTGTTATAGCTCTGGTCTTCAGTATGTTTCTACACAGCTAGAAACATACTACACTTGCTGCCTAGTAGCCAGCCCTCCAATAGACAGCTAGATACCCTCCATTTTTAACCAGCCATGTCTGCCTTCACATCTAGCACAGGCTGTGCAGGTATGACGTACTGACGACTCTGTCACAGTGTGACTTCCTGGAATTCATGCCTACTTGCTTTAAGCCTACCAATAAAAACTCTCCCCAGGAAAACATATTTGGACATTGCTATTCCTAAGAAAGATATACAGGTCCTTCCCTGTCTGCTTGCTTGTCTTGAATTGTGTGTGAGGTCTTCAGAGCTGTCATCTCCCCAGTAAGTATGAAAATCATTACTCCTATCTCATCACTTTCCTAATCATTGCCAGGGTATGTCTCCACCTAGAAGGTCTTGTGTTATAAGTCAGTCCTGCCCAAAAGCGTCAGTACTGTAGTCATAATTTATTGCATGACCTTGAAAGGGAGGAAGCATTTGTGAACCAAAGAGAAACAGTTCCAGTCAGTGACAAATACGGTCAAGCATGTTGGGCACCACAAATCTGTGAAAAGCAAACTGGGGGGCAAAATAAAGGCTCTCACTAATCTAAAGGGTTTAGAGCCACCAGAGATTTTAACTGGACTGTTGTCAGATTTTAATCCCAATCTTACTGGGCCCTTCCTGGGAAGGGGAGCAATGGAAACTGGAAAAAAATCTGAGGAGCAGTGTCCTGTAATGAACTAAATTGTCTGCCTCACATGCACTGTGGATTGTTATTTGGAGAGATAGTCCCTTTGAGGAGAAAGAGGTTACAGCTGGGCATGGTGGCACATGCCTTTGATCTCAGCACTCAGCCTAAGACAGCTGAGTGGGAAACCAGCCTGGTTTACTTAGTTTCAGGTCAGCCAAGGTTATTTACTGAGACTCTTCCTTAAAAAAAAAAAAAAAGAAAAGCAAAAGAAAAACAGATCAGAAGGGAGAAAGCTGAAGGGAGTTAAGTATCTATTGCAGTATTAAAGGAGGTGACAGAAGTTAAAAGCTGACAATTTGAAAAAGCATCACAAATCTCTGAGTTCAAGATCAACCTGGTCTACAAAGCAAGTTCCAGGCCAGTCAGGGCCACACAGTGAGAGACCCTGTCTCAAAGAAAAAGTTTCTTTTGTGGGTTAGAATTCTGGGTCTTGGTTGCTTCGGTGGTGGTGCATGCCTTTAATCCCAGCACTCGAGAGGCAGAGGCAAGAGGATCTCCATGAGTTCAAGGCCAGCCTGGTCTACAAATCAAGTTCTAAGCCATCCAGGCCTACACAGAGAAACCCTGTGTTACGGAAAAAAATTCTTAAGACTTTGATTAAACAAATAGATTCAAGTGGAAGTAAGAACTGTCCAAGCCTGCCTTGGCATACTCCATCATATACAATTGCTGCTCTCAGGCCGTGCAACACATTTTTGAAGCTAAGTGTCAAGGAAAAATGACTATGTCATGTTCCTACAAGTTCACAACTCCTGTCTGTCAGGGCACCAGGATGCACCAGCTGACAAATCATTTGTTCTGTGTGAATAAGCAGTGCAGACTGTGTCTACATCACAGCAGAAGCTGCAGGTGTTGAACAGACACACACACACCGGGAACTGTGCAGAATGCCCATTTTGACCCAGCACTGGTCATGAGCTTTATGTAAGACACTGGCTGAAGTGAAAGACCTCTTCCTGGGTGCTTAGACTCAAGCTGAATGCAGCTTCTCTATCCTCTGAGCCTTTGTCCACTTCAGCATTTGAAATGCCCAGACTCCTGCCCTGTGCTGACAACTCTGAGCCTGTGTCTAATAAGAATCTCCTTATGGCCCCAGCAGGATTTGAATTGAGATTGTACCCGTTTGACTTCAACTTCATGACAGCCTCTCAGCACTCTGTAGCATCTGTAACTCTCCCATGGCATTCTGTAATCTGCGTAAACTTGTTATACAATGGCAGGGTAATGTGTGAGCTAAGAGTTAATGCCAGTAATAATTCTGAAATAAAAGCACCCATGAATACTATGGAACACACTCTTGAATTAAAATCACTTGGTAAGTTGTAGCCAGTGATACAAATAGTTTTGTGGATGTAGTAATAAACTGATGTGAAAAGACACAAATGTGTTTCTGGTACAGTATGCTTGTGATGGTGGAAAAAAGGACATATACCCACCTTTAAGAGATTTTGGATGTCTCTGCCTCCCAAGTGTTGGGATTAAAGGCATTCACCACCCCTGCCTAGCCTATCCAGAGGCAAAGGGATCTCAGTGAATTCTAGGCCAGCCTGGTCTGCAGAGTGAGTTCCAGGACAACCGGGGCTACACAGCGAAACTGTGTCTCAAAAAAACAAAAACAAAAAAATAGCAACAATTTAGCACTGCAGTCATTGCATATATCCAATAAGTCAATGTCATCAAAGATAGCAGGATCTAATCTTTGATAAATGTGAGAAAAAGAGTTCAATGTGTATATTATATAGGACTATCATCCAAACCTAACTGCCGCCGTCTTCAGATCAGGTGTGCCCACTTCCTGAGCGTTGTTGTCTGTTAACATCCCCTCCTAGGAGGGATGGGAGGGGTATAGGACCATCACCTGTGTACCCAGCTACTCCTCCCAACCAGCTTAGGGAGGAGTTAGAGCATACAGGCTGGGAAGGACTAGGAAGGACATACCATCCTTGAAGCTGTGGCCTACTTTTCAACCGTGCTGGGTCAGACTTTCCAGTGTGGCTGCTTTAGGGTCACCAAGGATCCTGCTTGTTGCTCCACACCCATGCTCTGTAAGTAACCCTAATAAACTCATTAGTTAGCCAGGGTGGAATCAAACTTTGTTATTAGGACCTTATGGGGAAGGGGTAAGATTGTTCAGACTCCTCCACCCCTGGATGAGAATTCTTTAGAGGTATGTGTTGTTCTTTTGCTGCAGCTTATGGCCTAAGAAACACAAACACGAGACTTAGCGCCCACGTGGAGTTTATTGAGAGAAGGGAGAGAAAGGGAGTAGCTGGTGGCCAA